ATTTGGTGGCTAGGAATCTGCAGGTACACGTTGAATAATTATCAGATACAAACTAGTTGTTTAAATCAAGGTACTTGGATAGGGTGTGGGTTGTGCAAAGTGAATATATTTACCCGTGTTTGATAGAGTGTTCAAATTGGAAATGTTCACGTGTAAATTTATGGTCGAAACACAAATTTGTTTATTAGAAATGAATTCTGTTATATTCCTCTTTCTGATAAATAAACGTTAATCAAATTTACTAGTCCAAAATTTGATATAACTACCATCTACCGTGAACTGAAAAATGTTCGAAATTCTTAGATGCTTAAAAACCGAATCCCATTTTTATCTGATTAAGATATGAGGTTCAAAAGTAATGGACTAAGACGTGACAACCCCTTTCATAAGATCCTTTTCAGGTCCAGGGGTAGGCAATACTTATATTTTTTATTCGTCAATTTTTCTTTGGGAACCTTGTCAATGCTATACAATGCACATTTGGACACGAATTTCGCTATTTTAAGAATAAAAAAACATTCATTTGTGAGTCTTTATAAAATTAATGGTAAGTTAATGTTTGAAATAGATTGGTATACTCGCGTACCTGCAGAATATCGATCTGGGAGAGAATTAATGACTTGAAAGCATAAAATGGGGTCATGGCTAGTAGCAATTATTCAGTTTGGTTTAAAAAAATGCTACCAGACAAGACTACCTTTAATGGACTTATAGTTTCTCCGAACGTGAAAGTTCTTGCTATCGCTCCTCCCAATGAATTTATTCAGTTGGGTAAATGCGTGACAACAGCCACAGAGCCACGAAATTTCAGCGGAACTGAAATTTGAGTGATCACATGTCTAATTTCCAAATGCAAAAAAATCGTCTTGCTTTGTAGACGAAACCCCAGAATGCAAACCATAACTATCTCCCATATAATGTTTTGCCAATTTAATCATTTCTATTGAAAATAAGGATTGAGCTTGTTTTCCGGCACAACTACACATGCCACAAAGTCGTAATTTTTCGTGAATTCGGTGGCAAAGTCACAACGGCAAATCGGGTTTTGAGTTTTTAATTGCGTGTTTATTTGATTTAATCGGTTTGGTTTATATGTAATAACTTCCGCTTTAGGCACGGCAGAATCTGTTGATAAACTTGGTTAAGTATGCTTTGACAACGTCAAATACGGAAGTGTATGTTCACTTAGGTGGAATAAATTGCACGAAGGTTAATTTGGAAACACAATCTATCTCACAAAGGTGTTGCATTTAGATATTTCCAATTCATGAGCCCGTTTTCACTTTGTTGTCTATGTGGGCTTTTTCCGACTAGTCACCTGTGCTTGCATTAAAGAACAACTACCCAAAACTGTCCGTGGTGGCTTATTTTAGGTGTGTGAGGGAAATATGAATACCTCTGTTGCCAATCTGAACGAAGAACTATAATATTGGCGCCTAGCTGCAATAAATTTCTTCATGTTTCCCATTTACTCTACTTTCAAGCTCGCAAACCTGCTTCTTGTATCTGTAAAAGGTTATACGTTTTAATGAAAAATGGTGTAGCTGACTTTGGTTTGAGCCCACGAATCTAGGAATTGTACTTTTGTCCATAAACCGAAAATGTATGGTCCCAAGATCTATCGACAACTTCTTAAGTTTGCCATCATCCATGTCTTGGTACAATGAAGTGAAAAGCGCGACTGGATTTGAGCCATTTTAGCATTGCCTAAAACAAATTATCTGAAGCATGCATCCAACCACTAATTAGGAAGAAATCCATGGTCCGTGGCATACTTCGAGTGACACGATGACAGAGTCAAAAAAGCGGTTCATTGAGTTGTCGAAAGTCACCGTGCTAAAAGCATTTTAGTAAACCTCTTTACTTTGTGACGGTCAAAGTCCATACACAACTATCTAATACCGTGATTATTATACAAAGCTATTTATCACAGTTTCTTGCTGGGCTAAATAAGTACATTAGTGCTTCCTTAAGTGTTAAACATGGAGTGCAGTCATCTGTCAAGCGGCTCGCTAAAAGCAAAGAAACATTTACATGCTTCCATCTACTTCAAGTTATCAACACAGGCGCAACATATTCTAATTAAAATTATTCGGGCAAAAGGAGTAGGATAATCACCCTAAGTAACCTGACTTATTACGTGGCCTACAGGACTGGAGAGATTTAGCATAAACTAGGCAGTGCGAAAAAATCCTGATACGGTTGATAATTTGTTGAACTTAATTTTCCCTCAAGGAAATTTCTAATGGCAACATTTAAACAAAAACAAACAAGGAGTGAGCTGGTGAATGACACCCAATTAAAATCAGATACATTTTTCGAATATTCCGTCTTGTCAGCAAACTCTAGCCCTGGCACATACAAAGACACCTCAAAATGAACGGCTTTAACAAATCAACGTATTCATTAATGTATGTGGTCACGAAATTTTTCCAAAACAAATTTTTTGATTCCATTACGAAATTCATTTAGAGGACCAGACAGCTTTTATCAACGCAAAGGTATCAACTATAGCCTAGTTAAGTCACTTCGGCAAACTCTGAAACAGATGAATATTGTCGAATGGGTTTATTCTGATCGCACTTCTTTATCGTATTGCATAAATTTATGATCATTTTATCGTCCAAAAACGTCGTTGAACAGAATGACCACATTGATACGACATTTTTCTGCGGTGAAGCTGCAAGTGGCCATAGGTCATTTTAAAAATCAGATTTGAAAAAAATTGTGTTGGCAATAGAGAAACCGTCAAGGGTATTTGGACTTGGCCAGTCAAAAAGTGCTGTGCGTCAGCACCGTAAATTCAGTCTACAAACCACAAAACAGCAAAAGTCACCGAAAATGCCACGCCGATGCACTTAAGCCCCCGAATGCAGGTTCCCGTGAGGTGTGCCTGAACACTGACAGCCTGACATGGTGAGGGCAGATCCGAACGCCCAGTTATCGAATTTGCCGCATTCCCACAATTTTTTTCAAGCGATTTGAGCGTGAAAGGTAATTCACCATTTCGTGCTAAAATTTGAGTCTAATAACACATTTTAGGAGTTAAGTTTGACTGAATCCTAAGGAACAAAACGGTTTCCTACATCGAAGCACGTCTGCGAAAAATGATAGTGTTTTGTGACCCCGGTAGGTGGGGTAAACCGGTAAAGGTTCAATTTACTGCATGGCCAGAGGAGTGGAGCGGGTGGCGTGGATGGTACAGGCACAGGGTCACGCGGGTTTGGGGATGTTGGAAAATGGGGGCATGTGAAAATGAAGCAGCAAACGCGAGGCGACGGACTTGCATCATGACGAGTCAAAACAATAATTCAAAACATCACAAACCACCTAAACTGCAGCGTCATATCCCAATTCAAAACTGCAGCAGAAGACACAAAAGGCATATTTTATGTTCGATTTTTGGCGCATGCCTCGACGAAACTAACTTACCCTACATGACGCTAAGATAAGAATTTGATAACGAATAGAAAAGTACTCGAATTAGGCCTGGACAAAAGGCATTTGATTTGTGTATAAGTTGTTTAATTCATCAGATTTCAGTAAACGGTTGTACAGAGACAATTAAAGTGCTTTGGCCGGCCTTTCATGCTAGTTATGGTTTTCTGTGTTAGGAGATGACGAAAAGTATAAATTCAAGAAAATGGAGTTCATATTATCCACCTCTGATTTTTAAACATAGCCCCTTTTCAAAATGCCCCAGTAAAGATTTGGCAAATGAAGGAGATGGTCCGTGCGTTTCTAGTGTGTTAGGTTGCAACATTTCACTAAGCCTCGTGAAACGTTGCAGGCATAGCAACGGAAAAAAGTCGATAGGTTTTGCTTGGAGGATATTAGTCAGCTAGCTCAGCCCACAGCCCATGTGTAAACAGGATGTTATTCCTTTCAAGTTGAAAAATAATTTTCATAAGTCTAAGCAGAATGATATGCTATCCAAGACTCCATTTCACCACCTGGTTTTTCGAATCGCGATCTAGTTCACAACTTTAAAGTACAAAGTGCGTTAGCGTTTTAATTATACTTTAAGGGATACGTCAACAATAGCAAACTTCAAACCTGTAGCACACAGCTGTTGCTACAAATGCTATTCCATCAAGCAAAGGTTTGGACGAGAAAGATGTACTTGTTCAGGACGCCCAAACTTCCAATAAAGCCCGTGAAACTAGCTGCGGAGCCAATAGAACTTGCTCCTTGGCTGACCAGATGTTGCGATAGCCTTGGCGAACCGAAAACTGGTTTTGATAGGTTCGCAAAACTCTTGGGCCCACAACAAGCAACCACAAACACCACATCAAGAATTACATCAGGCGATAGCAACGACATTTCCACCGTCATAATAGGGTGCTAGGCTGAACGACTACAACTGCGTACAAAATCACGAAACGAGCTACCACGGCGTCTGTCTGGTTAAATGTGCCAGCACCAACTTTGCGCAGCGCCTGTTTAGTGTGTCCACGGTTTCAGCATAAACAAAGTACCGTCGAACGGTTTACAAGATTGATTTAGGATGTTTATTTCCAACGAGCCATTGTCCCACAGAGTCTTAAGTGCACACAGCGACAGTTTGCGACTGGGTGGAGCCCTCTCGCGCAAGTGGCGCCATCCGCCGCCTCCTCGCGAGCCAACATGCAGGCAGGAAATTGGTTTCCGCTGAAAGAGCGCCTGCGCTGCGGCACTAGCGAGTGCTGTGTTTACTTGGATGGCTCAGCTCTTGCACGGAGCCAGTAAAGACACTGCCGGTCCCGTGTGTTTAGCATTAGATAAATGGGTGGGCGGAACTCGAAAACATCGTGAGTGACTTTCAAACCCTTAATTAGCCATTTCATAATAGCCATCGTTGCCTACATACGTGAGGTGAACCTCCGTGCCCTCGCAAGATCTATAAGGTAGCTGCTTCTGTTGAACTTCATCAGCTGGAGGTTGGAACTACAAAAGCCAGTCCGAGGAATGCCAACAACCAGAAGCTAATTAACTCAAACGAAGACCTTAGTCTGGACTGACTGTCGTCGTTAATTCAGAACCACTCTTCTTGGGGGAGAATCGATATCAAGCAGAGAATCTGGCATCGATTTCCCGTTATTCTAGTTCAGCTCGCTAATAAAGGGCGGTGACGGGGGCTGAGTTGCGATTAACCCCTGTACAAATTCCTTTTTCGTCCCAAACTGAGTAGCGGACGGACCTCTTCCAAAACCAAACATCCACACTTAGCTACCCACTTTTACTGCCACACACGACTATCTTCTGTCTCTGGTTTAGGATTGCTATCACGTTCTTCCACCATTATATAAAACTCGACAAACCCATAGAGGCACACGCAATAATTACTAAATTTAAGTGTATGGACTTTGTGCTTTTGGGAACCCAGTTAGACTCAAATATCAACTCTAAATTTAGGCTAGCCCAGAAATGAAGGGTTCCCGTAAAGACAAGTTGGATGCTTGCATAGCTCACTTGTGCCAGTACAAAAAAAGAAGTAAAATACAAAAGCGGTGACAAGAGTACCCAATGCATAATTTAGCTAGGTTGACTTGATATCTGCACGGTTGCGACGTCTACCGAACGAGAGGCTGAAGTCATGATTTTGGAGGGAGAAATGGTAGCAACGGGTGACGAACTAGCCAACTCGGAGCAGCGCTTCAAAAGGACATGCATTGGAAGATTCGCTCCCGACGAATCCTAAAAAAAGCAGCAAAGGTATTGTTCCCTGGCCAGCAAAGGTTCAGATCTATGCAGACATTCAGGTGTCAGGGGACCTAGTTATTACTCTTTTTGACTACGAAGACCAAAGTGACACATTCTGCACCAGGCAGCGTCGAAGTTGACGAGATCATGTCACCTTCAACGATCCGGGTAGGCCCGGAACGAACCAACGAACGTTAAAACCGGGATGACGTATCGACGTGGTGAATACGAGCTAAATAGTTTGAAAGGACACCGAAAGGCTGGCAGTGGAGCCAAGTTCGACGGGAAATTTAGGACAGATAGAGTCTAGCTGCCATGCCACATGACCTGGCAATTGCAGGTGGTGTTGGCGGGCGTGCACATCACGTCCGAAGGTGACCTTACACGTCCCCACCAAAACGCAGCGCGAGGACCCCAATGTTTACGTTTGAGGTTTTAATGCATTAGCGATTTGCAAAACCGCCTTAAGAAGAACATTCGTGATTATTTTGCACAATGTAAGATGAAGATGTGGCACACAGACTTTCGCCAAATAAATCCACCGTGATTAATTGGGAGATTTCAATGGGCGACAGTCCACAGTGGATTCCCGCGAAAGGAAACCTGAGAGAAACAGCAACTTCGAAGATCAATCACGGGAAGCAGATGGGTGGATGGAGTCGCGTGGTTTCTGATCAAAGGCACGACTTCGCTGGGGCACATTTTAAACAGCATAAATACGGCTTGCATTCACTATGCAGAACTGCATCCAGCTTCGTGCACCTGATGGCGCTATGCGCATCTATGATTGACAAAAGTATAAATACACGTATCCACCGCATTTAACTCAACACGATGCAATGCCTTCATCGTTGACATCTCTCTCACAACTAGAAGCATTCAATAACCATCTGCCTTCATTTTTGGTCACACCAACTCGGCAGACAAAATCAATTGTTAAACGAGGGTTCAGAACACTTGAGAGCTGCCACGAATGACCGACCTACACCAATTAGAACGAGCAAAAGCCAGAGCCCAGACAAACGAGAACTCAACCAGTCAAAAGGATTGAGAACAAGCATCACGACAGCCTTGGTATCGCAAGGAGGGAGTCGGATAGCTTGAAGAAATCCTACTACAAACCACTTCCACAGGAATTCAGTTCTGCCCAGGTCTCCAAGACAGGAGTTTGCAAGTCGTTGGGAGACGTTCGTCTTGCCGAAATGCTAGAAGCGATAATTCTGGTATCGTGCATACAAATAAAAGTGTTGTGGAGGCAAAAAAACACCTGAAGCTAGTCCTATGTGCCGCTAACGGAAGTGGGTGTCGAGTAATAACACTCACCTCGGCACCCCAACCCCTATTTCAGGGGGAACAGTGTGGTACTACCGATTTCCAGTTCAAAAGGCCATCGTTTTTAAAAATACCAATTTTCATCGAACAGTGCAGCTGTCAACCCCCGGGGGAACAATACTTGGGCGGCCAGAACTCACCCATGCGGGCGGGCAGAGCTCGTAGGCTTGGGCCAGCAGTTCAGCAAAGCACGAGGCATCCGAGGTGCCACCCTCGTCCATCTCCTTGCCCGACGAGGCGCTCGCAGCCGAGCGCGACTGCGCGAACGAGTACAGGCGGTAGATTTGCTGCAGGATGTCTAGAGTTACGGCGCTGGTTTCGCTCGCCTGCTGAGCCTTCTGCCTGGCCAGCCACAGACGCAGGGTGGGGTGGATCAGGCTGAAGGCTCGGCGCGCCAGGAACACACGGTCGCCCTCGCTGAGAAAGCCCCGCCTGAAACGTTAACAGATGCCGCCCTGACATCCCGATTAATGTAACACTACGTGATTATTCCCACGCGCCGGCACACACACACACACACCAAACGGGCTCCCGCAATACACACGTTTGGCGGCACAACAGAGGGGATTTTGGTACAAAGCATTAATGGCGGCAGTAAATTTTGTTTAGACTTCGGTTTAACGTATGTCCCGCTTTCGTGTCCACCTTCAAGGGCACCTAATCCCAAACAAACACAGTGACATGTTACGAAGACTGACATCCACCTTCAGCACAACAAAACCCAAAACAGGTAATGCCTAGTTGTTTGTTCGAGGCGGACAAGGCCGAAGGAGACGGTAGTTTACGGCGCCAAGGTTGAACCGAGCTAATTCCGATAGGACATTTCTTGCGGTAAACAATCACACCCGTGTTTGCGTTAATTTGTGTCACACTGTAAACAGACAAATCACAATATGAACATTTGACGAGAAATCGAGTCAATTAAGGTGTTAGATAAAATTAAAGTGACTCCACCAATAGAATTAGCGTCTGACCGGAAAGGGCACATACTTTTTATAGCATCGAGGTAGGCTGTTACTACACCGAAACTATTAAGACGGTGCCTGAATTATCTTTAAGGAACCTTGGCTTTAGTGACAAAAGACAAAGCCGATCAGCAAAATGAGCCCCAACCAGTGCCCGACGAACATAACATACACATACAGGCGGAACACAACGCAAGGGGTCTCTGGTGTTTGCAGATGGGCAGTCGACATTGCAACGACAAAGCCGAATAACATAATAAGGAAATATACTTGTCATCGGGTGGCTGTTTGCGAAGTTGATGGAACACTTGCAGCATTCGCATCCAATCACCGCGTCTGCTGAGCACTTCCAGCACCATCAGCGTGGAACGGTACATGTGAGCGGCGAAGTTCCCGCTGCGATCGATATCCGCCGTCGGAATCCGCCACACGCCCTGAGGGGAAAAAAGGAAGACGACGTTGTTAGGCCCAACGAAAGGCAACTCGGCTGCTGACTAAGCCCGCCCGGGGTTAGTCAGCCGCAGCAGTCACCACTGCCAAACGCTAGCCCCACCATCGTAAAAGCCCTGAAGATGTCATGCGCCAATGGAACACGCAGGGCTCCGCCGAATCGTGCGCTGGGTGTAAAGGTCATTAATTAGCCGGACAAATTTTGGGGTGTTAAAGTGACACGGTGTTTTGTGGTGCTACACCGATTGTGGTGCATCGAAAATCCACCGCGGTAGAGCAGACGCAAAAATTGACATTAGACGAGTCTAAAGCAACGCTATTGTCTAATCAACGGTAAGCACTAAAGAAGCCAGACTTTACGAGCATTTTGGATTTTAATTGATTTTATTTAACCCCGGTTGGAGATATTCGCGAGGTAATTTGATCGCCATAAGACGCAACATATTAGAGGTAATTCATTCCGCAGACGTGATAAACCACGCGGGCAAGTTAAGCGGTCTATCCACGGAAAAAAAGGAGCAGGCGAAAGCAGAAACTTGCGTGGAAGAAATTGCTCTGGCGACGATCTTTGAACAGCCCGCCGTAGTCCACCTTGGTCACGTGATCGAAAGGCCCCATCAGGATGGCCATCGCCTTGTCCAGGTCCTAAAGCCAAAGAGGAAACCCCCCACTTAAAGAGCATTTTTGGAAACACACGCAAAAGCGGCCCCAAAGGCGCACTCGTACCAGCATCGAAGGGAGAGTCAGGTAGAGGTGTGCCAGACGGTACATTGACTTGTAGTGAAGAGGCAGGCGACGCAGAACCAGTTCCAACGCCTCCCGACAGTATTCCACACAGCTCCGCCAGAGATCTAAATCGATTAATTAAGAGACGATGAGGAAGCCCTTGGGAGCACCGATGAGGCACCTTTTAAGTCGACGTGGCGCACAAGCAAATCGGAGCCAACCGGGCACAGGCAAGAGGAAAAAGGATTGCATTACAAGGATGAGTTTAGCGGTTCTTGCAACAACAAAAACAGTCCGAGGATTGAATAGTTGTACCGGCCGCACTTCATATCCAATTTTTAACTGCAAAAGCCAAGAGACCACCCAAACGAGAGCCAAATGGTAACCTTCAATTTTGACAGAACATTACACTGGAGCCATTGACTCTCAACCGCACATTGGGTTAAATCAACGACAAACCGGCATCGGAGAGCGGCGTAGTGGACGCAGCAGGCGCGGGGGTGCTGGGAGCGAAATCGAGGGCGACTTCAGAATCGCGCGGCATCGGAGATGACGGAATCGGTGGAGGTGGAGCGACTTCGATGGATGCGTCAACAGGGCCGTCGGCTCCACAAACAGCGTCCGGTTTGGATGCCTTTACGTTGGAGTCAGGCATCAAAGAAGGCCGCTTCCGACAACGAATCTTCGTTCTAAATTGGCAATAAAAAGTCTGCTTACGGAATCAGGTCTGGAAATTCACGTCGACATGAATCGAGTCCGCGTTTTTATGTTGTGGCCAATGTGATCTTGTCTTATTTACTGGGCAAAATCTGTTGTCAATTTTGCCTAATAAACTGAGAACAGAATCCTTACTTGAAAACTATTTGGACTAAATCATGTCCTAGGGAAGAATTGGCTACAGCGGGGACATTGAAACAACTATTCTTAAAGTGTACTCATAAAAACATCGTGTCTACTTAAATAAGAGCAAGTAGGTGTTAAATACTAAATTTCACCGGCAGGAGTAGACATTAAACAGGGCCACAGAAACACCTTCTTTCAAAATGTGCCAGCCCCAACGTACTTTGGAGAACCGTGAACACATCTGGCACAGCCTTAACCATTTGTTCAAACAATTATTAAATGATGCAACTTTTTTTTGGCGAGCCGATCTGCACAACTGGAGTTTGAAATGAAATGTCTTACGCGACTCTGGTGGGCTCCACGACAAACGCCGACTGACTGAGGCTTGCGAGAGCCTCAGAAATCTGCTGCAGGGGCAGCCGACAGGGCGAGGAGGGTCGCGGCTCGCCCTCCTTCAGGAGGACCTTCAGCGTGAAGGCGTGCGTTCGGTAAAACACCTCAATTGCCTCGACAGCCAGATAGGGCAGCTTGTTGTAGACGACAATCTTCTTCGGGTACTTGGCGCCCGCGGCGCGAAGCACATCCGCGGTCTTCTGGTAGTTGCCGATCACGCGCAGCACCCATTCAAGGTAGGTTTCTGCAAAGGCAAAGCGCCTCACGAGCAATGCGATTGGCTGGGGCACTAAACAACTACGAGGAGTTATCCTGGAAGGTACACTGACGGGTCAGTGAAACAGTGAATCGTGTTTAGTCACGTTCATCCACTCTGCCACCGCGTACTCTGACACAGCTTGTCCGTCTGCTCATGCCCCCGTTACTAATTCCACTCATCTGGCCGCTTAGCCCTTCGTACTTCAACAAGTTCACGCAGACTGCAAGGATCAACAGTTTTGTAGTGAACTTCTATCAATGGACACTCAACACGAGATGCAGACCAAGAGAAACGGCTAGACAGGAAGCCTACCACCCTGTGCCCTGAGCTCCTTGGATCGAAGCGCGCGGTTTAATCCGCCCGGGCCGGCTTTCTCCTCGCACTTGGTGAGCATGTAGTGGTAGAGCCACTCCTCGTCCAGCACAGGCGGCCGCTGGGACGACGCCGACGCGGAGGAGTTGTCTTCGGCGTCGGAGGACGAAGGCGCCTCGGCGGGACACTCGTGCTGTGCCGTTGGCGACGTGGCGGCGTCGGCTTCCTTGCGCTCCAAACGCAGTGCCCGCAAGTAGGAGCGGTAGGCCAGACTCAGCATCTTCTTGTGCCACTGCTGGCAGAGGTGCAGATGCGTCTCCTGGAACGACCGACTTGCCGACTAGAGTGGAAAGAAAAGATTGACGCCTTTCAGACACCACGTGGAGGAGGTGGACTCGCACGTGAGGCGGAAGAGCACGCGGCTTGCCTTTTTGATGATTCTGGCGGCGTAGGAGTGCAACTGGTAGGCGAGGCAGCCGCGCTCCGTGAGGAGGGTGATGAAGCGCGGTTGAAGTTCGAGGGCCAACTCGAAGCAGCGCAGGCAGGCTGTCACCGACCGCGCCGTGACACGCTCCGTCTTGGGGTCGATCTACGACGCAAACAAACCACGCGTGCATCAGGGCCACACGCTTTCCTCGCGCGCAATGCCTAACATTGCGTTTTCAGTTCAATGCAGCCTAAACCACCCTCAAGCCAACCTGTTAACAGGGGCTATGCTTAGCGTGCGTCCAATGTAATTAACGCAGCCACCTTCACTGTACTACCGACTCTCTGCTACCGAGAGAAACATGCGAATATTAGTTGAAAGCGAATCACTCGTAACTTCACCTACAGCCATTATTTTAGGGCGCGTGAAAGCGAACAATTTCCGATGCACTTTGCCTTGTTATTTCCATAAAGACAACGGAAATGCCCGAATTGTGCTACAAATTTGTGTTTGAGATTTTTGCAAAATTAGCATTGAATCGGATTGCGGTTACGTGAGTAAGCAAAAGAATTTAAACAGGTTAAACGTATAAGATAGTGATTTAGCAATTGCGACGATCAACAAACCAACCACATTTAATACGGACCAATGAGGTTAATCGAGAGGAGTCATGGCACAAAGGCGTGATGAACCAGCACTAACAAGAATTACAGGAGCATTGCGCATGTTGAGGTGCTTTTGCAGAACCAGATGACGGACCTAGGTGTATTTCCCACCAACAATTGATGAAGCGTTTTGGTTATGTTCGGTTGGTGGTGACTGCCCGAAATCTAGCGTGACGAGAACCAGGGAAGTTCAGAGAGGGGGGAACAGCGAGTGTAGCAGATGGAAAACGGGCACAAGGGACTCAGGTTCATTCGCTGTACTTGGGGAGCACACGAAAAAAAAGGCGTTAGGTACTCACCACATTGAGAATTTGCTCCAACTGACTGCTGTAGATAAGCGCCAGGGCCGCCCAGCTGTCGGCGTGGTGAGGCGCGACTCGCAGGTCCTGCTTGTAGTACCGCGCCGCAAGTCTGGGATTAAACAGTGAAAACAGTACGAAATAAGGGAGAGCCGGCGGAACGTCAAAGGAGGTTTAGGGTTAAGCTCAACCCAACTCCCGATTCGCTTCTGCGTGCCTTGCTGCAGATCTCAAGCGACTCTCGCCTGGTCTCTTAACATCTGACTGACTCGACTCCTAATTTTCAATCTCGTCTACCTCAGACAGCGAATGCACAGTTAACTACACAGCACCGTCGACTGACCTTTCAGTGGGTGAAAGGGTCCGTTGATTCCATTCGACTCGTTTGTCACGACTGGGAACGTGTATCGACCTTCTAGGACCTGGCAATTGGCGCTTTTCTAGTGCAACTTAAATGGCATGCTTATTCGGCGTCTCATGTCTCACAGAAAAGTCACGCCTCAGGCAATTCTGCCATCCTACGGATCTTAAAGTATGACCGCTGTACTTCTACATCACCCGACTCTTGGTCCTGTTTCTGTCCCATCGCTCAACTTAGCTTTTACCCTACACACTCGCCTTTTCCAGCCTGGTTTCGTTCGCCAACTTTCGCCTAACTCAATCACATATCGTCTGGCTCCAATCTCCGCCGGACGATGCCAAATCTCAGGTACCCTACTGTTCTCCTCCTTAGATGATAGACATTTCACAGTAAACATCTTGGGTACATTAGAGTGCGAAATTGATGCAAAAGAAGAATTTGTGCGGTTATGCGCACCAAACAATGCTAAATCACCGCATTTGTGTTGACAAGGCGGTTTACATTGGTTGTAAGTTTGAGAGCCGACACACAGTTAGGCGCAGTAAACAGAGACTGTAAACTACCGCAATAAAATCTCGATCCTATTTAGATCTGGGGAGTTGGGCAGGAGCTTGGGAAACTACACTCCCATCGCCTGATAGTTTGAGGTTGTTAGCACATAGTGCATTGGTGTTTACGGATTTTGTGCTTCGATTTACGCACAGGAGAGGCATATTAAGGCTAGCAGACAGCAGAACATTGCCGTATTTTAAAACCTCGATGATAGGTGAAATCAGAGGCAAACAGTACGACTTAACACGCGATGGCAGGAAGAGGAAATCAGCAATGCATTTAAACAACCGTTGGCACCTTTTCTACCCCCACGTGGTTTCAACTGCTTCCAGCATTGCCAAATACCGTAATGCCTTAAAGTGCAACCACCTCAAGGTATTTTAAAAGCGGAAAAAGCATATTTGCATTGTCATTACACCACTGAGTTGGTTCATCCAACTCCGGGACAAACCAACTTTAAACGGAATTGATTATATTTCGATGAAAGTTGGCACAAATACCTGTAGAACAACAGACTGTTTTAGTGGCTGTTTCATGATGCTAAATTCACATCCCTAACTTCCTGTATTAATTGGTTTGTATGGCTAAGATATCGACATTTTACGGGAAGTTAACTCCACAGTACGGAAGCAACAGGAACAGAAAAACAACCTTCATTTGAAGCCACTGAGTGGATCGGCATGAAGGCGGTTTGGGTTGAATTAGAAGATTCCTGGAAGACAACTTGATGCCCAAAATTTTTAAACGTGGAGGAAATGCAAAAAGATTAACAAAGATGAACACCACGACTGGGGCGAGGACAAACATGAAAAAGAACTCACTCAAAATTGTTGTTTTTTGTATAGTAATCAGCAAGTAGGTAGAACATGAGATTTACCATGTCACTAAAAGACAAAACGCACAAAATTTAGTTCACGTAAATGAGCAGTCGGTAATTTTTTTGTTTGTAATTTTGCGAATCATGCTCTTTACCGCACACTGAAGGGGTCAAATTATCTCCAAACCTCGTTGAAAACTTAAAACAGTCGGTAAAGTTTTTTTCTGAATTGATTTAAGACATCATGTGTCGGTCAATTGGAGGTATTTGCTGACCAAGCACGGCAGCACAACCGCTCCAGGATCAGTGCGACTCGTTCAACAGAAAGTGGCCGTGACAGAACGGGCTAGCGCCACTGAAGTGAAGGACTTGAATGCGAGCAGCCCCCGGGCGATGTTGGGGGGGCGGGGTGGAGCTTCAGGTGAGACGTGAGAAGTCGCACCTGAAGCGCCGAGGTTGGTTGCGTTGTTTGTCACGCACGCCCTACTCCACGACAGTGAGCTCTGTTCTTGCCTGGTAACTTCTTCCCTTATTTTTACCCTTTTAGGCCTGCCCAATAACTAGTGTATGGATTATCCACTGTCCCCCGGACTCGATCGCCCAGTTTACGCTCTTTCTCCCCTATTCGTCTTGTAACCGTGTCCCGAATAAAGTCTCCTAGTCGTATCCTCTCTCTTTCTCGCACTTAGTCCCTGGCGGTTGCCTGGATTGCTTGTCTCGCACTGAATCGCCATTAGTCCACCTCCTCTCTTAGGTCGGAGCCCTACTCGCGCGTTACATGTTCCACTGTCGATAATCGATGCCACCGAAATTGGCTAAAATCTACACCATGGTCGTAAAATCCCCCTAAGCTAGACGTGTGTGTGTGTGGATGATCGAATCAGGATTTCTGGTAATAATAATTAGTGGTCGGTTAGAGGAGGCTGGCAACAATGAGCTTTCCGCAGTGTCCCAATGTCAGTCATACAGTGTCATGACTGACTTTATTAGCAAAATGCATAAATCATTGACAAGGGCGCGTAAATTACATAGGACCGTGAATCTTCATTGCGAAATATCCAACAACAGTCGGGTTATTAGAAAAAAAACCATTAGTTGTTGTGAAAGTACGGTCAACTAAGGAGGACCTTTTAATTCTAAAAGTGAGGGAATACGGTAGATACGCCTTCTGCATAAGCCTTGCGTGGGGATTGTTAAAGGTCATTTCTTAGTTTTTAACCGCCTCGCTTCCGACACTTGCCAATACGCAGGTAAGACGCGTTGGCGTGTTGCATGCTAAAAATCACGTTACTGTTGAATTTGGCTGTGAATTGCACCAAAAGCACGTTCCGCTGCTTCGTCGCCTGCACAAAGGCACGTCTAAGGAACACGAGTTACAGAACACACGACTAAATCCGCTCATGTGCCATGCTAAGGCATCTGGCACTGCGAGAAATTCTGCTTTACCCCAATCCGACTCCCAGACAAAGACCGTTCCTGTGTGTTTTAATAAATGGGGTGATCAGAGGTGTAGTGTGACTCAGGGTTACACAGAGTCATGAAATCGAGGGTAAGCCGACACATAAGTTTCCCGGAGTCTAAGCCAATGCTGTACACATAGAGATTTTACGCCGAGGTTACAGGAGTGCTTTCGGTCGGAGCACCCTGTAACTCTCTTGGAAAAGACGCTGCAGGTAGAGGTTACAACACCCGGCGAAGGCACAACAACTACGATTCAGAAGGCATCGCGCGCAAACCGCACCAGGACTCACTCACCTGAGGTAGTGGACTTGCTTGGGGATGGGGGCGCGCGCCGTCATGCACATGTCAATCCGCTCTTCCGGGATCATGAATTCTTCGTAGGCCCTTGGCAACAATTTCACCGCCTCCGATAGCCAGTTTGCGAGCTAAACAAGTAAAGCCACCTCGACTCAGTTCTGATCACAAGGAAAATCGACTTTTTCTTTACTGTGGGGAGTGAAGGAGGAGGTCATTTCGAATTGGCAAAGTGTAAACCACAATTGGAGCGAACCCACTTGACAACAAGCCTCCCAATCAATCAAGTGCACCCCCGATCGGTTTTGTTTCGCGTAAGTCTCCGTAGAACGCACGTGATTGTTCTCAGGTCTTGGAACCACACGGCTAAACGTGACTTACACTAACTCACGAAAAACGTGCCTCACATACCGCCAACAAATGTTCAGGGTGTAAGGCATTATTATATGCAACACAGATGCGGGGCGTAGGTCAGGGTAGTCACAGTGACTCTTCTTAAAGCACGCAAGCTGTTTATCATAACTGGACAAGGGCGCCCAAAGCAGTGTTCACAGCAGTCGTCATAAAAGCCGTTTTTGTGAGAACCACTACGGAACTTGGATACATGGCACCTCGTTCCAGGTCGAAAATTAAAAAAAAATCGTGGAATTTTTCGATCACAACTAAGGATAAAAAAAGCATTTAGGTAATAGAATGGGTACAAAGAAATACCTCCGAAGAGATGGAAAGGGATTTCATGCTGTCGTATTCTGGCAGTTGTGTCGGGCGGTAGAAAACAAAGGCTACTTCGATGATTTGCCAATCCTGAAATCCAAAAACCAGCAAAATTTCGAAGTGAACCGAATAGAAATCGTGCATTGGCATGGTTAGGCCGGACAAAGTCACGAATAATATTCTACTAAGACTACACGCATCAGCGCACTTTATAAAAAAGGCAAAAGATGCCCTAAGTGTCGAGGGCAGCACACAAAGAGAGGTTAGATATGCCAGTATATGGGGAGAAATACCACTGGTCGGTAGAGTACGAGTAACGTGGCGCAAAAGCTTATATTTGGATTGAGCAGACACAAGGAGAGCAAGAATTAGCTGCCTCGCGAAGATGTGCCACCGACTTACGAGCTCAGATGGCGCACGACCACTACTACCGGACCACCACACACCCGCGTTCGTCGATGGTCCGCCGCCACCGCCACCGCCGCCCGGGGTTGCTCTGTGCTCGTCCACGGTGTGGTAGAAAAGCGAGCTATCGGTCAGCCAGAGCGGAGACGACGGCAGCACACAGGAGGCTGGCATCTCGGTGCTCGTTGCACTCAGAGCGGCAAATGCCGGGGCTTCAACCTCCTCCTCCTCCTCGCTGCGACCTTGCGTTTGCGATGGCCGAGGTGGTGGTACTAGTTGCTAGAAACAAAAAGACCAGTAGAACGCACGAAGATGGTCCGCACTTGGAACGGACTGCTGCCACCAGCTTGCACAGAGCTGAGGATAAATTTAAAGGCAAATTATGGGGATCGAAAAATAGATGAGACAAACTGGGAGAATCAAGAATCAATAAAAGGAATTGAGTAAATAAAAATCTGTAAGGCAAATAAGGAGGATCAAAAATTGATAAAACGAATTAGGAAAATCAAAATTAAATAAGATAAATTTAACCGGTGAAAAGAAAAGAGTAGCAGAAACTCGTTAAGGGCTGAGCGCATGCGCTACGCAATTCGCAAGGGAATTACAGAAAATTCAGAATAAGTAGAAATGTACAACCAAAAATACACATTCCAGAGAGAATGTGATGTGGGTCCTAAAAGTGCGAAAATGCGTCCGTCGCCAAGGCAACGGAGAACGCACGTAAAGCTCTTATGAGGTGTGCGCGGTAGCCGGGAGAACGGGAACCAGTTGCCCAATCAACCTCGACTTATCGCACCGTATTTATGAATGTCGAATGTAAAACCACAAATGCAACACTAACAATAATACATAGGGAGGGGTAAAAACAAAACAAGGCAATTCTAGAACTTGTAGGCTTCAACAACAACCTTGAATCGCGAAGAACTCAGGGGTGAGGAGAGTGTGGAGGAGCTGTTGAGGCCACTACTGTCCCCAGATGTGGAGCGCATGGGCAGACCACAGAGGCAGTGCACGGCTTGTGCCAGCACCTCGCCCATCCTGGCACAGCCACCGGTGGGCCAGGCGGGACGTCCGCTGGCCGCTTCCATTGACGCCTCCCGAGCACAACGCTCGGTGGTCTCACTCTGCCCCCCGTCCTCGCGTTCCTCCTCCGTCGACACTGGCTGGGTCACTGGCTCCGGTGGTGCTGACACCACGGAGGATGGAGAACCTTGGAGAACGGGATACACGGCGTCGCCAACTTCCGCTTTCCCTGTCGCGTCGAGAAAACGTTGATAGCCGTTGGAGAGCTGTTGCAACACGCGCGCGACGGCAACTGTGACGTTTCGAATGAATCGCAGCCCCAACGAGGTGGTAGGAGAGGTGCAGGGGAGGGGGCCTGATGAGCCTGAGTTGGAAATAAGAGGGAGAAGGTCGTGGATGAGGTGCAGCACTTGGAGGCTGGGAGAGGCGTAGCCGTGACCGCGTGCACAGGCGAGAACGTGGGAGGAATTCTGGGATTCCAAACACGAGAGAAGAGCACTTGCCGTGCTAGAAACAGAACGAATAGCAGAAAAATAATGAGACATGATGCTTATACCATGCAACTCAAAGATCAGTGTAAGGAGGGTTACACGAGACATGGTTATGAAGCAGACATACGCATCTCAAGACTGTAATTGTTGAATGATTTGGAAGGCATCTGATCAATTGAGACCTTAGCATTTCAGTCCCACAGTTATTACATGGCTATAAAATCTGACATCCGCACGCGACGTCTACGCACTATATGGTGATACATATCATGAACCTAAATCGATATACATAGGTGGTAATTGATCCTACAATAATCCAGACGACGATAGCATTGCAAGAAAAAGATATGCTATTTCTTTAGATCGCGTCGAATAGTCGAAAACGGAACGTAGATAAGACTGGCTTTGTGAGTTAATTGTAGTTTTGCTGATACCATTCATCTACCTTCTTAGTAATTTCACAGTTGATTCTCCACATAAACTCAATTCGAGCCTGGGAAATTTGGTGATATCAGTGCAACAACGTTGCTGAAGGGTTCGGATCAATCTTTCTACGGCCCACAACCCAGATATCGCCCGAATTTGACACAACGGAAGCCACGGTTCCATGGCAAAATGAAAGTTTGTCGACACTTATTTGATTACAGTGCACGATTCCGCCATTTTTGACATATGACATGCGCTGGGTTGGCCCATAAGTTGGTAATTTTTACCTACGTACTACTAATATCGTCGCCATGATACAACAACCTCACTAATCCATTTAAACTATAACCTCTTAAGTGATCAAGGATAGTTAATACAAATTAAGACATTGTTGCACGCTTACATCGACACTCGATGTAACTGCTAAAACCGAGGCGAATCATATCGCAATAATCTACCTAGGTTTCTTAAAACTGCGCAAATTGAGCACACTTGGATTTGTCAAAAAAAGGAGTTCCGAACTACCGTGCTTACCTCGGGTCGATGTCTGGATTGTCAAGGTCACAAAGTGCGCGATGAACAGCCAGTTTCGGGTGCAAGAGGTGAATAGGGAAGCGAGATTCAATTCTGGAATAGACAGGGAGTGCCGTGAGTATTGATTAAATCTGGCGTGAGTGCTAGCCCAGAGGAAAGGCATTACCTGTCCAAGGCTTCGTGGACGAATGCACTGAATTCCAGCGATATTTCGGGAGTTGGAAGGCCGAGAACGCCCGTCGCCTGCAGCCTCCAGGCCAACGAATCGACGACAAGGCGCAGCGTTCTGCACACCTGGCCAAACGACAGACCGCAGGACACCTCTTCAGACGGTTTAAATGTGAAAATGCCCCAAGAACAAAGTGACTCAAGAGTGTGTTTCTCACTGAGAACTCCGTGTTTCGTCACAGACATTTCAAGATCAATAACCTCCCAACACCTGAAAAACACACAAAAAAGATCTCCACTGACCAGGTTTGCACCAAATCACAATAGTGGCAAGCCTCGTTTCAATGCGACCAGTTTGAAGACGGCAAATACGTGAGCGCCTGGCGAGGCACTTAAGGCGTCGACAGGTTAATGAAATGAAAAAGAAGACACCCACTTTTGTAAAAGATCGTAGGCGGTGTCCACAACACGCCAAGCCTTGGCAACATTGGTGCACTCCTCGTCGGGGAGGGTTCGAAAGGCGGCAAGTCGGTCGTAGTCCACCGAACTCTCGAGGATGAGAGCCAGCGTGCTTGTGGCAATACGCCAACAGCTGAGGGCGAACAGCACCGCACTGCAAGTCCGGGAGTCGTGGTGAATGCTCGACAATTTCTTGCCCAGATTGGCCAGAGGCAGGCGGAGCATCTCGCAGACACGAGGGAGACCATCATCGTGCTAATGGGTGAGGGCAGACACCGAGAATGATTGGTGTTAGGCAAATTTTACCCAGACCTCAACCTACATCATTTTACCTAATCACAAAAGAGCAGGTTGTACTAACAGTGAGTGCATTACAAGACTAACGGCAGAACGGAATGTTCATTCAAGACAATCTTTAAGTTGGTACTTCCCATTGCGATAATAAAAACGTACCACACCGAAATGGGATAGGGACGACTTTCCTTTGCGCAAGGCCGAAAAATGGGAACGGAGGCATTGTTTTACAGCCACCACCAGCTTCTTTGTTTCTCCGCTGAGACAAAGATGTTGAAGTCTTTCCGCGGCAGAAACATCTTCCACTTCACACAGGAGTTCCTCTATTCGGCCTACAAAATGGAGGCTTCATTGAAGATACACAAACACACACACTTCAAAAAAGGCAAATAAAGTGCCATAATTAACAAGGAATGATGGATAAACAAGGATGCCTGCTGAAGTATTCCTCAGCAGCGACACAGGGGCAGCGTGTCCACACTGAATCCCAGACTCAGTTGATCCCCAGCTGGCTGACATAATTTTAAGAATCACATCTGTTCTAGTCTATAACCCCGCATAAAATACTGATGAATCTTGGGCACTGTCAGCTAATAAGGAGAGTTGGAAGGCGTCTTCTTACCAAGAGTGATGCAGCTGTTTCGGTAGGAGCACAGTCGTCGAAGTGGCCCGTGTCTGACGACAAACGTTCGCATCTAAAAATGACAAATGCTGAAGTCTTTCGGACCGAAAAAAGTAAGAAAGCACCAAGTTGAAAGCCAACCTGTAGAAGGTAATCCCGCATTGCGCCGTAGTTTCGAGTCACGGAGCTTAGTTCGTAGGAGATCCAGAGAGCTTTAAGTCAGAATTAAATGGATAAAAGAAGATTTCAACCAACCTCTGCCTTGGTAGGCAACTTTTTCCGTAGAATTTTCGGGGAGGCGTGAGATCAGTTCTTTAATGATGTTAAGGTCAGATATTGATATCGTTTCAGCCGAGTGAAGGAATCTGTAAGGATAAAAATGATTAACTGCGCAATCAATGCTCGCCTACCAGTCAAGAGGTTAGCGCCTAGATTCTTATTAATGACAATGCTTAAGGTTTATCAAATTTCTACTTAAAACACAAATGCAGCGTCAGACAAAGTGATTTAAACGCTAAGCTGAAATGGGAAAATGATCTGTGAGTGGTACACATGCAGCACAAAACGACAGCTCAAGTGTCCCCAAACTACGGTCAAAGCCTCAGACTTTAACTGTGGCTTAATGACCGCTTGTGCCATTAATAAGAGCCACACACACACACCCCGACACACATTCATAGACTCAAAAAGGGTATCTAAGCTACGAACCGTGCTGTGTCGGATTTGAGGGCGTTGCGCAGGGCCTCCAACTCGACATCACGAGGCGGTGTTAGGCTTTGCGAAGAGGCCCTCTGACAAGTGGCAAGGGCGTCCAGACGAACCTCCGCGTACGCGGTGTGCAGATTGACAAGCAGTTCGAAATTCGGCAGGGCAGAAAGACGCAGGAGTTCGGCTGGGAGAAGGGTGTCCCCTACCGGCTGGCGGGGCACCTTACCTGAAAGTGAAGTTCGGGAGATTATCGATGCCATTGGGGGTAGAACGGTAAGTGCACGTTACAATTGGAATGAGACTGCAGTCACGCTTTCTAGGTAGGGGTAGTATAACATGGGCAATGAGAATTCAATCATTTGATCATGAGTAATTGGAACAAGAACTAACCTTTTGGGAGGGTGTCTGGATCCCAAGTGGGGAGACACGGACGAACACGAGCCGCAACGGCCAGATATGCCGTCGAAAAGGACTGTGTCCTAGGAATAAAAGGCATGCAACCACAGGTTACCAAGACACCGTTGAGGAGTTGTGCTCATAAACGTGGAGGGTGAGTAGATAGCTTTTCTACAGTACAACGAAAGGACCAAAGAGTTTGTCATTTGATTCTACGTACAAAATTTTCCGCTTCAGAAAGGTTACTTAGGGCTCCATCTTATTCTACACTTTCAAGATACGGTTCTTCAATGATTAAAAGACAACAAGGAATATACCAGGGTTTCGTGAGGCTAGACATTTGAAGGAGCAGAGCAATCCCAAGGAACACAATGTTGGGCTTGTCTTCGGCCAGAACACGCAGGAATTCAGTCACCATGTCACATTCCGACACAGGGGAAGGTGGCACCGGGGATTCGTCTGAGTTGCCTGGGCGAAAAGGCATGAAGTCGGGTGGACGAAGGGAGTGGAGTGGAAAAAAAAACCAAACCGACACTTACTCTCAGTGACTACGGGGAGTCTGCTGACGCGCGCCGGCTTTTTTGCCGATTTCTCGGCCGAAGCATGGATTCGCGCCTTTTCTTCCAGTAGAGCCAAATCTCTAAAATGGGGTATTCCAATAAGTCTGCACAGCATCCGGGTCAGCTAATTAGACAGCCTAATCGAGTTCGGACTGTGGCTGGAACGAGGTAATGCAGGCCTGCATGCAGCCGCATACCCGGCGCGTACTGAGACAAAGTGTGGACACACACGTGTTGGCTAACGTGTTCGTTAACCACCCACCGAAGACGATACACGGATTTATGACAACCATTTTTTCAATAGTCTGAGCACTAACCTGAAGCATGCTGGGAGAAGGCCACGGAAGAGGTTGGCCTTGGAAATCCACTGCTGCCGCGTGTGCTGCTGGAGAGCGGGATTGGCCTGCAAACCGGTTGCCGGGGTCGATGAGGGGAGACTGGCGTTGGCAGTCGCCAACCCGATGTTGCCTGTCGAACCCGTTTGTGTGCCTTGCGGGGAATCATCCACCATCAGAGCTGATCGGCGAGTTCGCTTCGAGGATCTTGGACGATCATCGTCCTCGCCCTGACAAACCAATAAACGCTAACAGACTACTACAAGCACCCCACGATTTTGGAACCTCACCAGAACAGATGTGAATCGGGGAGGTCAACTGGATAACAGCACGGAACCACAAATTGAACTCAGTGGAATAAAAGTATGTGTCGTAACACTGAAAACAAAAGGCCCACTGCACATTGTCTAGCGCGAGGATAGTTTGACAATCGCGGTTTGCGTTTAGTTTTAAGAAACAACAATTACTGCAATTGTAGCAATAAGAAAAACCGTTTGATTTCTTGGAGGCATCTGGCAGATTACCGAAATTATCACTGAGATATTGCCTCACGGTCACATGGCTAAGAAGCAGGTCCGAATGGACAAACATTTGACTCACAACAAACAGCGGCTGGTGCGAGTAAAAACAGAGTTTAACAAAGCTACACGCAAATTTCACAGTCGAGCGTTAAAAACTAATGGCAGTTTCATTGCAGCACACAACAAGCCCAATAGTGAGTTATGAATTGACGGATAGAAAGTAGCTTGCGGATCAATAGTCCATGAGATGGCTTCATTGGTACCCCATGCATTTGTACTAACAGAACGTTCAAGTATGTCTAAACTAGTAAAATACGACATAGTTTACTACACAGACATTGGAACAGTGCACATTGGCAGCATTTCTGTCCAATTGCTCAAAATCAAAACAATGCATACGGAATAAACGGAGTATACGGTTTTGTTTACATTCATCATTGGTCTTGACACTTCATTGTTACATGTAGAGATGACAGCCTGATTGGCATCACCCACGCTCGGAATTCGCGTAAAAACACACCGATTGGTTCGTAACTTGGTGAAGGAAAATGAAGAAACACAGAGCAGATGGTTGATTCACCTGTGGTTCCCACACAAACTATGTGCGGAATTGTTATTTTGTTTGAATTTGATTATGAACCTTTCTGCAACATGGCACTTTTGTGTTTTTCGAGGTTGGTTAGGCGTTTGGGTTCTTCATTTAAATCACGAGGTTCGCACGACAACAGTGGTTGAAAGGAGTGCTCCAAGTGGGCTTGGATGGGACGTACCTTATCACCGACGCAACGTTGAGGAAGTTCCGCGGTCTCGGATCGAACCCGATCGGGTTGCTGCGCCAGCGGCTCCGGGGTCTTGGCGTTCGCGTCGGATGGCAACGGTGGAGGACAGGCGCCGGGAGCATCGTTCGCAGGAACCCGATTAGGCGACTTAGGCTCTCCTGGCAGTTGTTTAGCAGGAATTTGACCGCCATCAAACAGGGAACCCAAGTCAAGCATTGAGTTTGTGGCCTGGAAGAAAATCAACAGTACTACTACAACATTTCAGCCCCAGACAGCTGTGCCGCGAGACTGCTCTGCGTCTGGACGTAGGGGTTGCTCCAACAGCTGAGATATCTCAAATTCGAAAAAAAACAGCCGCATGGGAATGGGATCATGTTGGGTTGGACGTAACGATGTTTTTGCCTTCAGTTTCAACTTAGTCAACAAACTCGATTGCAACGCAGCAAAACTGATTGAATGGGTGCCCTCTACGCCCGTAAACGCAAGTGGTTGCTTAAATAGATTGCTGTTGGTAGTTCCATGGCAAGGGCCGAAGCGAATGGACGAAAATACTACAAGTTATAAAATGGAAGGAAGGGCGGAAGTACACTACTAGTAATAAAAACCGCCAAAATTGACCGAGGCTTTGATAAAAACGTAGCTTTATTTGGTCGGGGAAAGAACATTGGGATGAGTTAATCTTGCCTTCAAAATACCAAGAAAAATCGACGATACGGGCCCAGGTTAGACTATGGCGGGATGCTTCGTCATTTCACAAGCAATCACATGTTCGATTTCATTCAACACATCTAGAGGTTGCTTCGTCAACGCAAACGACAACCTTGAAGATGTCGTTATTCACTAATTGTAACATGAAGAGTACAGAAAACTCGCAGTGGTATTAAATGGGTGAGAAATTGGGCTGAATTTTGGCGACAAGAGAATAAGACCAGTTGCAGTAGGGCAAATAATAGTCTCCTATAATTGCTAGCGTAGGTAATGAGTGTGCTTAGAAGTTGGAGACCTAGTGTTAAATAGGCCAGAATGTACTTTTGAAAAGGTCACTACAATTCTACATCTTGTAACGTTTGTAGGATTAGGATTTCGTACGCATCCAATCGATGTATAGGGAGGTTTCAGCCTTGCGGGTAATAGAACTATCGACAATACCACTAACGTCTGTGAGAAAGATATAACTATAAAGTTTTAAGAATGAATCCATGAGAGGGCTTAGATAAGAGGTTCATTTGGGCGAAGAAATATCCAAGGGAGCAGAGTAAGAATACACACCGATTTGACATCATAACATGATGAAAAGCAATGCGACGAGGCCACAGTTTGTAAAATTCACAAAAAAAGTCGCCATGAATTCAAAGTTTGGTAACAGAAAAAGAATATGAAGATAAGTAGCCGAGGTCATGACGATCAAAATTTCAGTGTCAACGTAAGAAACGTCATTAATCCAGGTGACTTGTAAAATCACTATGAAGGTAACAAAGGGCGCTTTTTTATATGTAGCTTCTGAAAAGCTTATTGGGACAAAGGTGATTTGTCGCACGGGCAGTAAAACTAGCCATTAAGCTCCGGAATCCTTTGAATACGACACGTGAAAAGTAACAATTAGGATATTTTGGCGGTAGCTGCTCTAACGCAAGAACGCTGCCACCATAGCGTTGATGATTTTCGACGCTGGAAACCGCTTGTGATTTAGAAAGGGTTTCAATCACTTTCACGGTGGTCTGAAAATTTATGAAATGATCAAAGGTGACCGAAATTGGGCGCAGAACTCACGTTTTCAGAACTCAACTTGTCGAACATGCTTACAACGGCTCGAGAAAGATGTTCCCATCTGAAAAATAGGGAAACACACACACGGCGTCAGGAATACGACCTGGTAAAAGGAGAGAAATCAGACGCAAAACTTACGAGAGTTTGGACAGTGGATCTGGAAACTTAACGGTTTTGATAACTTCGCGCTCGCCCATTTTCCTTAAATGAGAAAGGTAGCCTTCACGAATTGTTTCAACGCGCTCCTCTATCTGAAACAAAGCACAATGAATTTGCATAAGTTCATTCAGAAACCTATGGATGATAGAATTGCTATTGTTGTATCACTTTTTGTTCGAGTTCTAATGCCTTCACGGAATAGACATGCTACATTGTATAACAAACTTGTGAACAAGTCTAAATGGACATAAATCACGCCAATGCGAATTCAAATTCTCGAAAATTGGCTGGAACTGTACAATTTGATCCCCAGCCCCTTGCAACTAAAGAACGTGACATACGTGCGTTAAAAAGCAAGCACTTCGGAAGCATTAACAGTAGTGCAGATTGCAAGCATATTAAAAAATAGGTTCGCGTTTTACGGCACTGTAGTCTGAGTTGAGAATATGATCAGTCAGATATTTCACTGAAAGACTGGCGCCATTTAAACTCGCTCGAGGGTATCACAAGACCACTTTAACGCTTCAAAAAGACTGACAGATTTTAAATGAACTTCTGATTTTTCTGAGGGCAGTTCCGATTGCCCTGAGGCGTGAAAGGGTGCCCAACAGCTAGCGAGTTTTGTGGGCGTAGAATGTCCACAGAGCCCCAATTTGACTGAAGCAAATTGAGAACCCTACTATGCCTTTACGCAGTCATTCAAATAACGCTGAAATTATTTTTTTATGCTTGATCGAAAAGTGGAGCGTTAGAAGAGGGTTTCCGTAGATTTTCAATACTTTCTGATCGCTTGTCACCATTATAAGCAGGTACTGAGAATAACATAGTGTTAGTGCATTCGTGAAATACGCGACCATGAAATGGAAGCAGGCTTTTAAGAATATTGTCGAGGCTTGAGGAGAACTGTCAAAGATACCAAGGTATAAAAACAGCACTGTTAAGGGACATATTGCGAAGTTTAGTTGTGCATAAGTTTTAGGCAACTAAACTTGAATGCTAGAACATGGAGAATACGAAAACAAACACATTCAGTGAGGACGCATGGCTGTCCAGAAATACTAACAATCCACACCTGCTTGCGTGACGCTTCCGGGAGTTCAATGGACAGGATGTCCGGCCGACGACCACGGACCTTTTCAATGAGGGGGTCTAAATTTGGTTGAAGGACTAGGATCCTCTGGATGCAATAGATTGCCGGCTCGTTGTACGGGTCAAGAAGCAGCGTTTTAACTGACAAATCCAGACAAACTAAATGCAAAAGAAAGAATGTCGAACTGATGAAAGTTAAAGCACAATACTACTACTAAGCAGTCCAGAATATAGTAGAGCTTTCTGCTGGAAAATGGGAAAATCAGATGGGACGTGCGACTACTGAAAACAGGTTAAGTAGAGGTTAGCGGTCCAAAAACGTCAAGGCGACTACAAATGTAGTGTTTGTCAGATTAAGCCTTTAAAAGTGCACAGCAAAGAAAGGTGTGAGAAATTGTTCCAATTGGTAGAACAAAATATGGTTTAGTGAAGGATCACAAACCGAGGATTGTGCAATAAACATTAAACGAGACAATACTTAAATGACATCTGTACGATGGCACTGAGCGAGAACATTTGTGGCGGTGAAATATCGGAATTGTCGTAGAAAATACACAGACTCAAGCACAACATAAAAAGTACCACATGGACGTACTCTCGAATTCCGAGATTGCGAGGAAGTAGGGGAGGCCCAAGTGAAGAGCAAGTGGATGGCACGGCTGGACATCAAGAATGTGCAGCAGCGCAGTCGTCGCCAGGCAAATTCGACAGAGTCTTATCGCGGTACTCGCAAGTTTCAGCCAAATACTCAGATCCGTTGAATCTAGCTCCACGGCCTTAAAAGGCATTTAGGTACGTGTAAGCAAATCAGTATCCATCAGGAGACGGATCTTAAGTTTTTCATCGCCTCGAAAAGAGTGTGGCTGGGCTCCAGCACACTAGACTTTAGTTTATCTGCGTATGTATTTGAGCTAACGTTGGCAACCAATGAATTCGTTTAGAATTAAATCTAACGTCGAACAGTAGAAGCTAGGACATCCCAAAAGCCTGGCTTAGTGGAATAGAGTAGGCTAAACCATTATGGTTTGGCTTCATAAAACCATGACCTGATAAAAGGGGAGACTTCTGGCAACTCGATAGCCAACTAGGAAGGGAGCGGTTTTAGAGGCTTGAATTGTAAGTGAATATACAAAGGAATTAGCCACAAAAACGAGAAAATCAAGAAGCGAAATAGTTGCAAAGCAGACACACCAATTAGGTGTGCAAAATAACGCAAATACTCACCAATTTTAGCAGCTTTAGAGAGGCCTCGAAGTTTTCTGACTTTAAGTACAAGTTCGCGAGAAGTTTGCAGCTGGCGAACTTAATTGCCAAGAGGTGTGATGGAATGGGCTAAAATAAATTAATGCGCGAGGATGAGTTTGCATATGGGAAAGGGCAATAGCTCTTGGCATCGTGACAGTCGTTTAGCTTACTGGAAACTGATAAAATGAACCATGGTCTACGAAGTCATCACGAATCTCAACCGAGGATTACATGTCAACACTGACTTAACAGGAAGTGGCCAAATCGTGTGGAAGAACGGTGAATGATAAGGCCCACGGGATTGCTAGACGCATCAACATCTTTTTCTATCCTTAGAGTACAGGGAAGAACACGAACCCCTTTGATTAAGATATGTTCAATGCATGAGCATATTCATTTTCGCTAAATTTGTGATATACGTGTTGCCAGGAGATACTCGTGGATTACAAAGCCTTAAAATATCCACGCTAAGCCCAACAAAACTTACACCACATCTGTTTGGACACAATTAGCCTTTCCACAAAGTCATAAGAGAATTGATAGGTAGTCGAATTCCAAACTCGGGGACACAGTACTATACAAGTGAACAGCAGTAGTGAAAAACAAACAACAATCAGAGCACATCTAGTCCTAATGATGTCGCGTAAACCATCCAAATCACTGTCAATTTCGGAAAGCGCAGCCAGTGGGGATACGTGTAAAAGTACTTACTACTGATTTAAGAACAAAGCTGTGTACGATACTCTCCAGCAATGGAATTGCGTCAAGTGACGACTCCACATCGGACGATATTTGGAGGGCATGGCGATGCAACCTCGTGATGCGCACCTCCTCTGCCTCTTTAGAAGAATGCTTTTCTCTAACAGGTCGAAGGAGACGACGTATAGCATCAGTGTCCACCGAGGCTGCCCGCGAGGCGTGCAATGAACTCACGCTATCCACAGTAGCAACCCCAACACAAGAATCTTCTCGATCCAGATCAACGTTTCTGCTGGTTTCGGATAAAATCGTCCGCTCGTCGGCAAGGCTAGTATTGCTGGCTTCGCCATCACAAGAAATTGGGCGGAAACGAAACTACAACCGCGATGACAGCACATAATTGTGCAGATATAAAATTTACTTTAAGAAAATATTAAAAGAAAGAAGACACTTCTATAAATAGAGTCACGATTACACAGAGAGCCATGCAAGAAAATCGGAACACGACACAAAAGTGGACAACTGAGGTAATTCATAGTGGTATTAGAAAATGCCATAACGGGGTATCTATTAAAGACCAACGAACGTCTATGAAATAATGCGCTTTTTATGAGCTAAGTTTCTGAAACTAGAAGCTCTTCTAATGCGTACACCAACCCAACAGACAATTCAAGAACCTTAGTGTATTTGTAAAATAGTTGCAGCATGTTCTAGATAAATTTGGAAGCCTCGAGTAAGGATTTCAAATGTAGAAGTAGGTAAACGTTTACCAAAATCGTTAGGTGCATGCAATATCAATTGGTTAATTTCGAAAACGTAAAAAATGGGTGGTGTCGAAGGAAACAAAATTTTGGAAGCGATTGTGGGCAGTGGGGATACAAACTTGTACCGGCCTGACACAGACGATGCTAATAGCTAGAGGGATTGGGATAAAACAAAAAGGCTATGCTCGTAAATCTCTCAACAGCTGATAAAGGCACGTTTGGACAAATCTCAACAAAACGAGGACCACAAGGTTCAAATTAACAAATAGCACACCCAATCGGCAGCAACCAATTAGAAACACATTCTTATAAATTGGGATTCCCGCGAAAATGAAGATTATTTATGGAGTTAGCCTAATTAGTCCAAAATTTTCCGATTAGTTGCGAAAAATACAAGAAATTGTATGCAGCATATATTAATCTAAAATTGAATGTCCATTGTTTTCAAAGCCTGAACCTTCAGGTGATTAATAATTGGTCGAATTTGAAGGTCAAACTTGATACAAAACAGTGAATCTGCATCTCGTGTTTTCGTGATGCCAAAAAGGAAGCAGTTTCTTATCCCTACTTTAACTTCGTGCGTATTATTTTTGAATTGCATAAATTCAGACGGCTGTTAAAACTGACGCACTTATTTTTTTTATTAGAACACTGGTGTTTGCGTAATTGAATTTTATTTTTTTTGCTTCCCCTGCAGTCTTGTCACGACGAACTTACCTTATCGTCTCAACTTTGTTATTATTATCCTATAAAAATAACTAATTAGTTTTTTTAAAAATAAGTTTAGTGAATTTCTTTATGCTGCTTCCATTAGAAAGTGAATCAGCCATACTTAATTTGGAATTAAGGGACAGTCAACATGGCCATGGTCCAACTTTATTTTTCCTTAGACAATTCATTACATTTGTGTAGGATTCCATTCTTTTTACTATTTTAGGTTATTTTTTTCAGTCCGTGTTAACCCGTGTCATTTCCTTCAAAGTAATTTTAACGTCGATGTAATTTGATAAACAAATGCTCACTTGCCAATAAAATTTATTCACATTCTGAAGCTTCGTTACACTCCTGAGAACTACCTTTGTCAGCGTTTATTATTTCTATAGTTTTACTGGTTTACTTCATGGACCAGGAAATAATGCTTTTTTGAAATCAAGTCACTTTTGTTCCAAGAGTTAATTTACCATTAAAACTTAACTATTAAGGCCTACATTTAACCCTTTGCTCGACAGTCATACCGAGGCATTATGCATAGCTTTTGCTGGCGTTTCTATGAGCTATTTTTGCAACCCTTACTATGGATTTTTCCTATTTTTCAGGAGTTGATTTGAATTTTGTAAACGCATTGATGTGGCCTTAACCGCCTGGGTTCTCGGAATAGACTCAGAACCTTATAAATTTGTTGAAATGTAAGGTGAAACTTAAGGGCAACATTGAACTATTCCTGTAAGGAAATTAAAATTATACGTATTCAATTTTTCAACAGTTTCTTGAGGTCGGAAATTCTTATTTAATTCAGCATAAGAAATTTTTCTTCCCAGCGGCCCCAAAAGTGGCCATCTGGCTCGAAACTTGCTCACTGTTTGGGTTATTAATCTCACACCCATAACATTGGCGCTTAGTTTCGGTGGTGAGCTCTCCTAGATCCTTCTCTCAAAAACAGGCACTGAGTACTACTTTCTCGCATCTTTTTAGTTTCTTCTTCAGATTTGTGACAGATAAAGAACTATGGACTTAAGTTGTTACTACCTCTATGCCTCATGGTTTGACGGCTGTCTAGCACTGAGTGCCAAACGTTGACGCACGGCTTAGGTAGGCCTTATACCCGTTTCGAAAGGACCCCGATGTGTTCTGTCAAAAATCCAACGACATCCATGGTATTCCACAACTTTCGATACACAAAATGGGTACGACTTGAGGTTATAAACAAATCATTTGCCAGCTGCCACCCTGTCCCTGCTTGTTGCTAAACAGACGGAAGTGATACACGCTCAAAGACATCCACCTAATTTTTACCTCTACTTATAGATTGTTTGCTTTTCGAGGGTGTTGGCTGTGGCTGATGTAAATTACCAAGTCAGCCTCTGCACTCCTACTGCGATAGCTTCGGACTCCAATCACCACCGGTCACCCATGCCATTAAGGTGCTAACCGCTTTCGAGGAACCAATTGCGGGTCGACACGGTCAGTCGTGCTGAGAAAACACACCAAACCAAATCCGATCTGGGCACATATTGTTCCGGTTTACTTCAAATAACTTGATGACTTTATTTATGATACTACCGCCCCTGAAAGTTAGGCTGTTTAGCTTTTGGTCCTTAGAAAAGGAGCCAGAATTTGAACAGTTCGCTTAAGACGTGTCGAGAAGCATGGCACTCAACGCCCGTTGCGAGCACACCACATTCATTTCCACAGCGTATTTCTTAAATGATTTTTAGTAATCCCACTAACACAAACCAATCTAATACGACCGGCTCAAGGCATAACATCAGATGGCGATTAAAATGGATGTACTTGATTTCAACGTAAAACTACCTCATGGCATTGTTTATTCGTTCGTCTTCGGTTTCTGCTTGTCGTTAATCCCATGGACCCGCTTCAACGATACTACTTCACATACATGTCGCTGACCAAATACCACATATAAGATGATGGAATAAGGCTGCGGGAATTAAAATATTATTTGAAAATAATATTTTAGTATATAGGCATTTGTACGCAGTTTCTATAAACATAGATGATTCACGTGGAGACGGGAGAAGTTATTGATGTGCATACTTACATATGGAAATATACATAGATACTTGGATATCGAAGGGAATGCAGCGTAGCCCGGGTAGGTCAACTCTTGTCTCACCGGCTTGTACAGTAGCCTAGACGAAAATAAGTGGCTTTAGGATGTTAACTTGAAGTACAAATGAGGGTTTTCATATCAAGGGGACTATGCGTTTACTATACTTAACCAATGAATGTGCTCATAGGCTAATTTGCAGCCTAACAAACAGGCTATAGCAATTGTACTGGCAAAAACTCTAGAGTACTGCGACACTATTTGTGGTAAAGTATGAAACGGAAGTGATATTAGCTTGCGTGACTTCTTTTCTCCACGACATATTGGTCGTGGATAAAATTAAATAAGAGATCGAAGGCGGAAAAGGGTACATTCGCAACGCAATCACGTGAGTCTTGGCACCATGCTGACACAGTTTCCACCACAGGGTGGCACTTACGGTGATTAAGTAGGTTTCCGAGTGTGCCTAGATGAGGAAGAGGCAGCCGGCGAGGTGCGAGAACTCGCTCGAGTTTGACACCGACTGGCACTTCCACCCTTCTTCGTGAAAGGTAGTTTGGCTTGTTTTAAGCCGGCGGGTTTTTTAGTCTCAGTGTGCTGGGCTTCAGTTGCAGCATTGCTATAATTGAGGACCGTTTTGGGGCGTTTTGAGGTGACCTCCTCAGTCTCTGACTCCCGCTTCCTCCGACGCTTGCCAAGTAGAGCTAAAACAAGGCTTTTGATGAAACATGGACGGAATAATCTCTACTTCCTGTTTAGTGTCACAAACCACCAAATAAACCTCTTACAGACCAAGCTGTTAGTTATGTAGGATGGATTGAGGTAATCCTCTTAACTACGTTCAAATGTATTCTTTTCATAATCTTCAAAGCCAAATTTAGGGGGCCCTCTTTAGTGGTATAGTGTGCATCTGATTACTTTTTCGGGGGATGGCCCAACACTCAATATTGATTTCGTGCATGTAAACTTCTGTCATGGTGCTGCTTTTTGCAGCAACTCACGCGAACTATCCTGTTCTTCTGGTTGGTCAGAAGAGGTCTGGGGCTGGACAGCAGCATCATTGCCACCATGCTTGTCCAAATCCACGTCCAAATCGGCGCCACTGGCTGTGGTGGATTCCCTGGTGTTGTCGGCTTCTTCTTCGTCCACTGGTGGCGATTTTGGAGTCAAGTTGGTAGCCTCGGAAGCACACGCGGCTCGCTTGTGCGCTGTGGCCTTAACTCGCAGGAACTTGGGCGGAATCAAGCCGTCTTTTACGGCCTTGGCGTTCTTTGTTGGAGTGAAGGTAATTAGAGGAACGCCCCCAGTACTCTCGTTGCAGAGTTGAGCGAAGTCGGGATTGGAAAAGGAGGGAGGAGCACGAAGGAAGAGAGTGCGAGGCAGTTTTATCTCAAACTGACAGCCCTTCCAAACGATGTTTGTACAACGCGTGAGAAGCAGGCCAAGTGATATGTCACAGGCAATGTAGATCTTCTACAAAGAGAAGTGACTTAGTTGAGTATCGCGATGTTGCTAGTTTTCTTTCATTTTATCCATTAGACCAACCTCTAAAACTATTGATGCATTAGATAAAAGGCCTAGGCGCCTAAAGAGGCACGGTGAAATGACTAACGCTGGGGTGCGAACGTGGTGTTCGAACAGTTTAAGCAGTTAAATTTACCCTGAGATTGAAATCCGCCCAAAGTCTGGGTCCCACTCACTACGAAGAATGTGACAACGCACTACTTAAATATAAAAATTCACCTAGTTGATAGGAATTATGCTCAGGTTCTATGTTACCGTGTTTGCGACCTCGTCGTCGGGGCGAAGTGCGTCTTGAGAGTGCTTGATTTTCTCCAGTAACTGTCGCAGGAAGGTGTAATTGTTGCCACCAGCCATGATTGGCTCCATGATAAACCAGAGCGCACTACGCAAGGCAAAGAGAGACTGATGAGGATTTTTGCTGCGGGAACACACACACACACGCGCACACACACACTGCACGCAGACGAGTAGCTTACGCTTTCACAGCGGATAGGCGGGCGACATCCTCGGGTTTCTCCCAATCGGGGTCGTGGGCGAGTAGGTGGATTGCATAAGCCAGCACAAAATCCGGCAATATGGCAAACAGCAGTTCTGCAAGGCCATGAGAGAAATAAATTATTGGTGAAAACGGTCCGGGAAATGGCATATCGGGGCAGAGCTGCAAATGCCCAAGGCAAACCAAGCCTATAGACGCTAAAAACTCAGAGACTGTGAGTTGATAATTGAGAAATTCCCACTGTAGTAAAGTATTCGATAAAAATGCTAGGAAGATAGCCTTTGCAGTCGAGATGTGTTTTAACCTACACAGCTAAATCAACGAAATTTGACTTGGTATGCTGACAACGTATCGACGTTAGTATAATACTTAAATTTTAGCCTATACGTTCTCCGGAGCTGGTGAAATCGCGCTAATTTACTGTCACTTGACTATTGATTAACCAAAAGGTGTCGAATGCAAAAGACTGGCGACATACTAGGGTTTTCTTCAAAAGACCCGTGTCTAGCAATAAAATCCCTACGCCGCTTGATGTTGTCTGTGAGGTATTGTTTCGCGCGTTGCCGAAACACTGGTTCTGGAACATCGGCTGCGTGGACAAACATCCCAATATACTCCAGGGGAAGCTTCAGCTGGATCAGACCCTGGTGCAGTACGTTGAGGAAGTGAGACCTGACGTTCGTGCAGGGGTCCTTTAAAAGACAATAGGCGATTAAGCAGGGGGGCGGGGCAGGAACAATAACCTCGAGGAAGCGTGGCGAGCGTTTGGAGGAATCATACGACAATAAATCTACAAGTTTTTTCTAAGGAGTAGTTTAATGGATTTGGCTCACGCGGCTCCGAGGGAGGAAAGTTTGGTTAGAACAAAAGACGGAATGCATGTATTTCTAAGTACATTCCCAAGGCGAAATTGGTTACTTGAACGTATGCAGGTACGTACACACATTACGTAGGACATGGACTGGTACCAGCCGACTTCAATGACTTCTGCGTAAAACTGAACACGGGCGATCTTAAGCCAGGAGGTCGCAGCGGCGAGGCGCATTCGAGACATATCACCGAAGCTAAAGTGAGATTAGGGAAAAACAAAGGCATAGGTGTTTAATTATATGCCCAGAATAGTAAAGAGAGTAATACAGCTGGACGTAAATGTGTTGAGAGCGTGTCAAATGTGTTTAACATTCAATAGTTAGTCATAATCTATACCTTTCAAACCAGGCTGAGAAATTGGTGGCTGTCGAAACCACAAGAGACAGATGTGCCAGATGCTAGGAGGAGAACTCGTAAAGGCAACGATTACTTACGTCATTAAGCCGTTGCACGTCAGGTCCCCATCGTGTACAATGATGCGGTGCAAGAGACGAATGATGACTTGAGCGACCTGTTTGTTTTGAAGCTTCAGCCCTACTAGCCAGTTGGCCATAAATTTCACGGCCGCGATCTAGAACACGACATGAACAACGGCGAGGTTATTTCCTAGATATCACCATTCGAACATGTGGCGTCACACTATATTTGGATTGAACAGCATAAATTAAATCCGTATTTAGAAATGAATGAGTAATACATTATTTTTATGGAAAATCGGGAATCTCCTCGCATGCACTTTGACCGAAACAGCATCCATTTGAGAAATACATTTCCACGGGGTCGTCATTTCGCATCGAACCATGAGCACACGAATTTACCACTTCACAAAAAACTTCCATCAAGGGTTTCTCAAAAGACGCCTCCGTTTCGAGTTTAATCGGTTTACGTTGATCCGTGGTGAGCCTGTGTCCCCACCAGCGGATTACGACTTTTCTCGTCAATCATTGTGAACTAATGAGAAACGTGTTGCTGGCTATCTACGCGGCAAAAATACCTTCATTTTACAAAGCGTCTTGAACACGCCTCAGGAGGAATGCAGGGCTATTCCGACTACCGCATTCCCGTCACGTAATTATTTAACATTTCTCAAAAAAATTGTTAAGGACATTATCGCATGAACTTAGTTTCCCCGCTTTTCTGCAATCGTCGAACGCCTCCCTATGAAACCCATTTGGAAATACCTGATTGTTTTTGTTAAGCTTTAAATAACCACGTGTAGGACAAAAACCTGCCTTCGCACGTGTAAGCAGCGGGACGTTGCCATCCAATGTCCAATCGGAGGGGCTTGTGGTGTCTTCGGTGTCGTCTGGTTTCTCCTTTTTTCGTTTCCTAAAGCCACCTCTCTTCGTGGAGGAGCTCGGGGTCGGTTTGTCCTCGTCCTTTGTGATGAGATTCGGAATGAGGTGGCCGGTCATGAGGGCCTTCATTTGACGATTATAGACACCCGGGAAGAGGAGGGCCACGTGACTCAGGCAGGTCAAGCAAGCAATGTAATCCGAACTCGTGGGCTCACACGCCAGGCACGTCTTGGAGGAAAATAACACTGTCGATTACTGCGGTGGCTTCGCGCATTAAAAGTGGAACAGAGTCAAGTGAACGAAAAGTCGCAAAAAAGTACCTTTACGATGTCATCCAGGGTGTGTTGCACCTTTATTTCCAATTCAGCCATTCTGGACGCATCGGAGCACGAGGACTCGGTTTCATTGGCTGAGTCATCCTCTGTTATTGATGTCGCAGTCTCCGTTTTTTTGTCTTCCATTTCACCGAAATTGCAGTCGCCGTCAGCCTTCGCAGTGCTGGCCTCCTCTTCCGCCTGTTGGGCATCAAGGGAGGAAACGGGCCCCTTCGGGAATGTGGAGCTCTTTCCAGCCAGAGCATGCACCACCGAGAGAAGCTGACGAAGCACCCGGACGGCCAACTTGGTACGCCTCTTTTCCTGTCGCCATGCTAAGCCAGCTTTGTACACGGTAACTGTTTCGTTACTGGAGTCGCCCTTAGCGTGCTCTTTCTCACGACGCTTACCTATAATAGAGCGCTCAATGCAGTTACCAAAGGCAATGCTGAACAATGCTAGGGGCAGCGTGACATACGCTTCTGCTTGGCCGCGGATGGGGTCTCAGGGGGGACGGGTGGGCAATCGGCGGTGAGACCAGTGGTACAGAAAGTGGTAAGCAAGGGGAGAATCTCAAGAGCTTGTTGGTGAAGTTGCTCCTGGGACCCGGAGTAGAGGTGAGCATTACAGGAACGCTTGGCGGCCAATTTTGCACCTTTCGAGCGCTTTTCGCCTTCGTCAGCGCTTGTCAAAGCAGCCTGCAAGTCAACCGCGTGTTGATCCAAGGCAGCTCCGCTTCCTCCCGCATCCTTTGGGCCGTAAATCGGACCGCCACCCAGCAGGCAGCAGAGAACCTACAAGGAGGAACGTGAAATAGACAACACAGTGCGCGGTTTTATCGTAATAATTTTTTTTTCAAAATTCGCGGACCATAAGGATGTATGGAAATGTTTTATTTTGGTGCAAGTGGGACTCACTAAACTGATTATGGACTGGAGAAATTGGTACAACTAGAAGTGTCGATACTCGAAAGGAAAGTTCCAAGTTAGTGCTTTTTTAAAAGTAGAACACGCACGACGCAGGTATAATGAGTTAAAAGTGGAACATTACGCGCGAACACTCGGTAATAGATGACTCGAGAGCATTTTTTTGCAATACCTGCAGACACAGTTCGACGGGTGTACTGGGATCCTCTTCGGAGGCACTTTTGGCGGGCATATCGCACACCGAAGAGCTCATGTGAGCCACAAGGACGCTGTTTACGTATTGAAACATGTCGTCTGACGGCAGAGCATCCTAGAAAGAACAGGTGATTGAGGTTAATAACAACGCCTACAAACACGAAACAGTGACTCTATTCGAGTGTCAATTTCGGAATAATTTCAAAGGTCATAGGACTAGGAGTGGGGAATGGGAAAAAATTAAGGCGTAGTTTTATTCTGGGGGGCCGGAGAAAAGCCTACAAAACGAGATGAGTCTGCCTGGATTTTGTGGCAATACGTTGCAGAAAACGACTTGGAACAGGGCATGAGACGTCGAAACAAACCTTGAGGGTCGCTTTTGTGCTGAATTGCCAAAAGGGGAAAGGCTATGCTGTTATACGAAAACTCCATGATAATAAAGAAACGGTTGTGATAAAAATATCGCCAAACCGACTATTAATTACAAATTGGGCGGCCGACAGTTTGCTTTAGAGCGATCCGAATGTTATTAGAATGGTAATCTACATTTTTCGTCCAAATAAACTGACCCTGTGATAAACCGACAGCGCAAGAAGGATCCGCAAACCTCTGACCAGTTCCGCACTTCCAGAAGGCACTTCAATAGATTCATCCGACGTATTCGTTTCCATGGAAACAACGAGGCGAGTGAGAAGCTCCTGGCCAAAGGCCTCATCGAAGAGAACAGACGCACAGCGCTCCAAGAGGAGCTTCACAGCGTGCTCGTAGTGTGCCCCGTCGCCTCCTCCACCACCGCTGCTGAAATGTTGCGCTTGTCCGGCCACCCGTTTCAAAACGTTGTGCTGCAAGTGACACAGGAGCATCATGAACTCAAATCTGACCTCCCATCGTGCTATTCGATGGATCACACCAGGTGCTACCCTCGAGGGGCATTATTTTTTGTGACATGGAAAGTGGCCTTCGTGTGATCGGACTCAAACCACAAGAGCCACCAGAGGGCTTCAGACGGGTGTTTTGAAAACTTTCTCACATGACAAGGACGAACTTCAATAGACACAATAAAGCTTTGACCTAAAGTAGCGTAAGTTTGTTTACCATGGTCTGGGCAGCCAACTTGGAAGGGCAATTGAGGTGGAACAATTGACAGCAGTTAGTCCTGAGGGCCCGGTCAGTGAGGACGGTGTTGAAAAACTTTTTCAAGTGGTCCAGTGCCTTCTCAGATTTCGGCAATAAGCCTGTTAGAAGATAGCAAATGTTTCGTCTCAAATAAAAGTATGAATGAACAGAACCAAACAAACATGATAATGCTCACGTACACTGGCATTGCGAGATTTGCAAAGCAGGTGTGTTAAGTGCGAAAAAACAATTAGGCGGAAATCTTACTAGAAAGTTTATTGAGAATTTGCATCATTTTTCCGCTTGCTCGAGCCGCTAACTTTTTGCCCGGATTTTCAACAATTATTCGCAGAGCTTCTCGCATCAATGTACAGCCTCTGTAAAATGGAAAATATAAATTTAGTGCCAACAAGTAGGCTCTTCTTCATACATATGAAACCGCTTCCACTTCAAACGTTATACGGAGATCCCCATTAAGGCTACTTGTACTATAATAATTATGACAATAATAATGTAATTGGATTAGGTTCAAAAATGCATGATCCTACAATAAGTCATTTGAAAAAGACGACTTCGAAAGGATGCTTATGGCTTAGAGAAGTGTGGATGAAGGGATTGATCCAATTAACACAACTTCTGTGCAATCAGTTCTGATGCAACTGCTACCAAATTTAAAAAGAACCATCTTGATAGCCGCTCAACACTTCTTTTTCTCATATTTTCTAATCTATGATTGAAATGTCAATGAGTTTTCAGAATTTGCCGATTCGACCTAATTGCGACCTTGGTTCAATCATCTAGTCGACCTTAAACATTGGCCTTAATGAGCAATCATATAATTGACGGAAAATCGAGCGCCACGTGAGCACAAGGGACAACAGAACTGAACTCACGTAAACTGGATTTTGAGGAGTTCCTGAATGGCCTTAATGGAAGCATCGTCCGCCAGTTGATAACACGTGAACAGGCTTTTGACCCGGTCTTTTGTGCCAAAGTTATAAGGCACTATGCAGCTCTTAAATAATCTCTCGACAATTATTCTACAAGTAGGAAAAAAAGAGCAGAATACGGGAATTCAGCCAACCCTAACATTATATCTCTATCAGGACTTCATTTGTGGTGCGTTAAGGAAAGGAGCGTGCAAAGTGATAAAATTTATAAAAATTGGCAAAGTTACGCAGCACCTCAACAGCTTTGGATTTTGAGACTTTAAATATCGGGCCATTGAAAAAGTTACTTTTAAAGTCATTTCAGCATCGATTTCTCCAATGAAGTAGTAAAAAACCATGAACTCAGTAAAAAAGCGATGCGGGTAGTATACCAATGAGAACCGTTTGATATTACTTTGGAAGCATTCAACACAAGAGCAAATTCTTGTTGAACCTACTTATCGTCGTTTGTTGGCTGATAGTACATATGCATGATCGCATTAAGGGCCGTTGTCATTTTTTCATAGTTCGGGTTGGTCACTTGAAGATTTTGTTTGTAAACCTGGGCCATTTCAGACAAAACCTCCTTGCGGACAGGAAGGGATTTGTCTCTTGATCGGTTAGAGATAATATCAAACAAAGCGTCAGCATCACCATCTTTGGATTCGCGCATTAGTGTAGCTACCACCTTTAATGCCAGTAAACGGACGGCTAAAAAAGAAATATAAACACGCAAAATTAAAGCCATCGCAGATACATGTCAAAAAAATATACACTACGTAACTCACATTCAACCCGGTCAATTGTACATGACTTAAGGCAATCAATCAAGTTGTTTCTGGGAAGCACTGGATTCTGCTTCAGCATTATAGGGACCATTTGGATACAAAAATTGCGGACATCAGGGTCAATATCATGAAACCTTGTTAAGAATGTTTCCCACAAATCAGGGTTCTTGTGATGGACTGTAGAACTCTAAAAAAAGTTAGGTCCTCGAAGCACAATAAGTTACTGGTTCAGAGAAAATGCGGGTAAGAAGTCGAAAGGCTCTTTTCCGTTCACGCGCAACACTTGACTTCAACTTAAGCCCAATGCATGGCAATATTGGAGAGACCAAACTTTCCTTTAATGTGTGAAGAGCGTAAATGATGACAAAACTGTGCTCGCCAAGCGGATCCCGTGAATGAAAATCACAATCCGATTGATCAGGCAGTGAGATTTCGCCCTTTTGATCACTAGTTACAAGAGAATTTTGGATAAGCTAAGAGTGATGAAAACATGTAGACATACCATTTGAATAGGATATTCCAGTTGTGTAGCTGTTCGTAAGATCAAATCTTTAACCAAGGAATGCTGAAGCGGTTGTGAACTCTTTGAGGGTTCAATTAAAAACGATAATAAGTAAGCCACAACCTCATCAGTTAAAATGGCGGACGACTGTTGTATCAACGTAACAAGTGTATTAAGAATGAACTGCTGTACAGCTGCCTCGTCTGACCACGCCCATATTGACAGATTCCTACGAATTAAGTTACAAACAAGTACGCTTTACCTTGTAATTCCTAGTAATGTTTTTAAGCATTCAAGCAGATACTTGTCACCGTCATCAAGCAATCGACACCAGGTAAATACATCTAATTTACAGCAAGTCTAAATGGGTTAAAGTATATATTAATGGGCTTACATATACAATAGTGAAAAGTCGTGGATAATTTACATCATGTTTGCTATGAAGCTTTGAGAGGTTGGAAATTGACTCATTTAAAAAAGTAATGAGATCCTAAAAACAAATGTATTACATCTTATGAACATACCTTTATACGGGACTGTGAATCTGGGAGAGTTTCAAAAGGGTTAGTGGGACAAAACAATTTTAGTAGTCTGCAGACGGCCACGCAGATACGCAAACGAATATCAACATCAGAGTGGTGGGTAAATTGAGAAGACAAAAGATGAAAAAGTAGTCCAGTCAGCTGAATAGGTTTCTGGGCCTCATTGACTGCTTGCCGGTTCTCGGATTCCTCCTCCTCAAGTGATTCATCTGGCAAGCCAGTCTGGCGTACGATTGTACGCAGAGCAGCATTTATATCCTTCGAGAGTAAACCAAAAATATCACATACATTAATACGTTTTCTGAGCTCATCTGGACGAAGACTACCCTCAATTTCTGTGCATCCCTCTGGATATACGACATCAAAACTCCTAACCCTCAATACCATCCTACTCCGTCAAAATCAAAACGACGGGCACCAAATGCAGCCGTTTAAACACAAATAAAGGTTTAGATTAAAGGCACAAAGACTAAACTTAAAAACAAAATTTTATAAATTCGCAGTGTATGTCTGCTATTTTAAGTTAGTTTGCGCATGGCAATCGCAGTCAAAACTGCATGCTTACTACATTGTCATTTTATGGACATTGCCATTTCCTCGAAAGGCTTATAATGTTTGCACTGAATCGATTTTTAAACCTATTGCGTTATTGTCCTTATAAAATAATGTTTTGGCTATAAATACAATTTGAATTGAGTTGTTTTCATTATGAATAAATTTGATTCACATTTCAATGTTTCTAACACTTGTTATATGGTCACTAAATTTCGACAGCGATGGTGTCATTTAATTTAAGGAATTTTTTTTTAAATACTACTCGTAATATATTTTTAGTACATAGTAATTTTTGGTTTTGTTTCCTCCTTTTGTATTCATTAAGATCTGCTTTTGCCCTTTTTTCCTGGGATTTGTACTTCAAACTTGCTCCTCATAAAATATGGATTTAAAGCATTCATTAATTTAAATTTTGACTCTTTAACTGTTGTTAGTGATTTAGAAACACGTGTTTTTACCCTATTTTTGGACATTTTTATGTATATTCGATGATTAACACTCGGCCTATTTTTCAATTTTGTCGCATCCGTTTGGATAGTACTCGCTGTTACTAACTTCTTCCTTTTTTCTTTGAACCCAGATTTTTTTGTAAACCTATTGTTAATAGATCTATTATGACTTCGCGCGATAACATTCTCTAAGATTTTGATATTAGTACATTTGGAACTCACTGTTTCACACACCTTAGGTATGAGTACACATACGCAAACGCCACATTCAACACAGCGAAACCAACTTGCTTGAATTCTGAAGTAAATGGTTGTGTCTATGATTTTTTTGGTCTTCTTCATGATTGTGGGGAGCAGGGTAAATTAATCGAGCCAGATCTAGGTCTGAGGCCCCGGTGTGGTTGAGACCACATGCCTGAATCTCCAACGAACAATACTTTAACTGCACAAGTGTTAAGGGGGATTGTGGGAATCTAATTGCGCCATTCGACTCTATCTTCAGCCCAGAGCTTGTAGTAAACTCAAAAACATTGCCAAAAGTTTAAAAAATTGTATTTTTCTTACATATACTTTACTTGGTCAAGTGATGCTCCAAATTTATGACTATTAGTTTTCCTAACCTTTGCACATTCTTTCTGACATAATGAGGGAAATTTTAAATGCATCAATTTTGGCGTAAATAATAACATAGTATACACGCCGCATTAACGAGATTCTAACGCTGGGTAAATACGTTTAGGGTGCATAGGTATAGCCATGTTCGTATAAAAGTCCTAGGAATCCTCCAATTAGTTTCAGCTAAACCTGGACGTTGATTTAATAATTTTGGCAGCAATCCCCTTTTTTGGTTTGTCGTTGATTACGAAGTTGATTGGTTTATTAAACACGAATAAACTTTAACAGTTGAGTTTAAATCCCTGATTCCTCCTCACCACATAGTCTGCGGCCTGAATTTCAATTTCAAAATGTTTTACTTAACTGTCATAATTATTGGTTGATTTAATTTACCCGTAATTTCCCTTCACTAAAAATCCCAGATCACAATTCCGAAAAACGAAAATTGAGAATTGCCATAAAGTAGTTAATGTGCTTCGAGGTAAAGAATCTTAGTTTTTTAAACTGAGGTTTAATTGTCAATATTATATACCCACTTTGCTAAACAGCTGGCGTTTAGACTTTATGTAGTTGTTTTTTTTTAAATTCTTCTGCTGCTGAAAAAAACAATTTTAAAAACCTGCCTGACTTCATTAAATGATCACTTACTAGGAAATAATTGCGCTGCGACATATTTTGTCAGAAGAAGGCTATCTCCGAAGTCGATTTAAACTTTCCTTGCTGGCGTGGGATCCATTGTCAGTTTCCACAACTTTATCTATGCCGAACATTACTGCAGCTTGCCTTCAAAGGATGACAATTTAATTAATAACCAAAGATGTTTTTTTTAACAAAATCTCAAAATTCTTTCGAACACATTGAATTGTCTACTCTCAGGAGGTGTCCGAAAAAAGAGGCTGTCTGAACGCAGTGCAAAGAAATTCCTTGATTGGGGTTCTAGTCGCCTATCTACCAATGCACGCACATAACAGAAACCACTTTCTCCTGTCCGTGACAGATTCCGTGTTGGTACCCGATCAAGACGGATGCAGGACCCAGAAATGCTTTAGCCAAATTACACTTCAATCTAAACACATCCAATCATATGGACGGATCGAATTGATTCGACGCCAGCACTCCCAGTGGTGTATGCCCATAACTAATAGTGTAAGGACGCTTCAAATTTTGCTTGTCAAGCCCATTCATACACATGCATAAAGGATAGTTGAACAATATGGTTTTGTTTAACATCAATGCATTATTCTTACCCTAAATTCATGCACTTTTTCGTTCATGTACTCAAGTACGAAAGACATGATCAAAGTGTGTTAAATAAAAAAAACCCCAATTTTGCGGTTTCTTGATGTTTTCTGGGGCCGTTGACAATTTTTAATGCCTTGTGTTATATTTATAATGTTATGTGGATAATATGTATGGCAGTGGAGAGTATAAAAACATTTTAGCACACCTCCTTTGGCTTTTTGCTTGAAAAAAGGACTCGCGAGTGGTTCGCAATTTCAGTAAAACATTCACACCTGTCTGTTTTACATTTCCAAAAGCGCAAACTCAAAAACGCTGTTTAATTTTGGTATCTAAACAGATCTTCACAAAAGAACTAGTTCCCTGCTCATTGAGCTAACCTTCTAATACCATCAGTCGACACAAGTAGACGTATTCTCGCGTCTTGTCGAGATAAATGACCGCTAAACAAAATCAGCCCTTTTCGAAACCACGACTTTGGCACCTGGGAATAGATTGTTTTTAACGAAGTTTCTGATATGATTAACCACGCACCTTATTTCGTCATGAATGGTTGAACCGAAAAGATCTGCAGTTGTTTGAAATGGATTAAAGCCTTCTCGCAGCAGTATTGGTCGGTGTTGTTTACAAAGGTCCAGCACTGGAAATAAACAGTGCTGGAGAATAGGCAACGTAACTACATGGAACAAGTAATGGTACATTTATCTCATTCGGTGAAAAATGAATTCTCGCATTGCTAGATATTGTATGTGCTGCAGTGAATGTACACAGACCGCCTAGGTGCGAAAAGCTAAGTAGCGTGACTGTAATTTAAGCGACAAGCGTAAATGAATTATCAGATTTTTAGGGTAGATTCGGTTCATTTATCGATATCTAGTCCACAATGACAATTAAAATTTAACTCTAGAAGTGCTTTTTTAGGGTTTCATTGTGTAAATTATTTCCGTGAATACCGTAACACTGACTTCCGTTTGCCGTGGGCTCTATTTCTTAGTAAATTTAGTTCACATCTTGGGCAGATAAGCGGTCCTACATAGTTGAAGCACTCAGCGATGGCTTATTAACAAAAACTCGCCTGAACGGGGCTATTAGAAGAGAATTTATCTCGCCGCCTCCCCTAACTTGTCATTGGTTCACGCGTGCCGCTAATCTGCGCACCCACGCGCGCCTCAAATACGCCCACGCACACACCCCAGTGACAAACAATGCGAAGCCGGCGCATAGAAACTGCCCCAAGAAAGCGTGACTTAGGCTAACTCTGTTCCGCACATTGCTCTGACCTCAGTTAACTCGACGCGCTTCAGGCCCTTCGAGAGTTTATAATGTCGTGACACCACCACAGACGAAATCTACCTCGTTTGACACGCTCACTTTCTTGTCTTTTTTTATTCCAAGTAGTGAATCACATCTTGTTCTTTACAATCACCAATTCCATTGGAAAAACCTTACAAATACTAAAATTTCGGTTTTGAGTTTTGTGTTGAAGTTCGAGTTAAAAGAAATTGGAAACGAATCTATCGGTTTTCTAATTGATTCATTGCTGGGCTATATAACTTTGTGGACGTGATTTATTTCATTGAAGTCCACAATGGTAATCAACTGACCACAACCGAGCTAAGTTCTCAACTGACTCTGAAAGTACTCATCACGGTCAAAAGCGGCTTCAAACGCTCTGGGGTGATGCACGAAATGGGGCTCGAATTCGTGAACCGATTACGCTGCGCACCTAGTCAGCCTGACCGTTACGTAGCCACTGATCTTGAAGCATTTTTCTATGGGCAACCCGCACACATAAATCCAATCAATTCACTCTTGAAGTGGTTTGTGAAGTGCCAAGAGACGAGTAGTGTTCCTTCTGATAGCTCTACTGCCACAACTAGCCCTCGATATTAGGCGCAAAACTAAGGCAAGCGAAGTACGTAAGTAGATCCCGTGGACGAAATCAAAATTTAAATATCTCATTCGATCCTCTGCATGTTCCATACTAAGCACTTACCAAGAGGCCCAACCATTTCACTATACCAAAACGGCACACATGTTTTACAAAGCACTTTTGTTAGAGGTCGATGGAACGAAATATCATAACATCGTGGAAGCGTGAATTTAACACGAATGCAGGCACTAATTTAGCAGCTTCTTTATGCTTTGAATGGCTAAAATTACATCACGTGACGTTGTCTGATGGCTCAAGCCTGAGTTTGCCTGGATTTTGTAACTTTCCAAAAATATAAACTAGATGTTTTATAGACGATTGGTTATGGAAAAGTGATCTCGTGATTCCGAACGTGGCGCTTAACGTCATTAACGCAAGAATGGCCCCGTCGGATTTTATGAAATGCAGTTTAGACCTGACCTAGCCGTGATTTTTATACGACATCTGTGAGGCAGTCTGAACACAGTTTCGCCATAGTAAAGGAGAAAAGGGCCAAATTGAATGAAGCAGTTGTATTTTTGAAGAAGATAGACGAAGCAGGCGGAGGCAAGCCTAATTGGTGTTATGGAATAGAAAGGAAGGTAGTCGATAGCTTAGTGCTTTCCGATCAGCGCTAGGAATTCGCGACGACACTTTGAGTCGTCCTTAAAGTCACCCAGCATTGTAGAGGTTACGGTCACAGCGTTGATTTTCTGAACCCCTCGCATCACCATGCACATGTGGGTCGCCTCAACGACTACTCCAACTCCACGTGGCTGGATCACCTCGGTCACCGCCATTGCAATCTGCCTAGTTAGGCGCTCCTGCACTTGCAGCCGTCTGGAGAATACCTCGACAATTCTCGCGATCTTGCTCAGGCCAATCACTTTCCCTCTGGGCAGGTACCCAATCGACACCCGACCCACGAACGGAACCAAGTGGTGTTCACACATCGAGAACATCTCAATGTCCCTCACGAGAACAATTTCATCGTGATTTTCATCAAAAATTGCGTTGTTCAGGAGATCGTGGACTCGTTCCTCGTAACCTTTCGTAAAATAGAGCAGTGCTTTTGCTGCTCGCTCAGGGGTTTTCAACAACCCAGGTCGCTGGATATCCTCTCCCACGGCAGTGAGTATACTTTCGTAAGCGCCAGCCAACCTCTGAAGACGGTCGGTTTTCACTTGCGATTGGTCAAAATCACGTTGAATATCGACCAACTGGACGGATGAAGACACCTCACTGCTTGACTTCCTGGCTGTGCTTGCCTCCCTGATAGCCAGGTTCCTTTCCGCCGTGTTTACGTTGTTGTCGCTATCATCAGTGGGACTTGAGTCGAGACTCTCGAGGCTAGACCTCGTCGAGGGATCCACCTTGTTCTCCATCGAGAGGCCATCCGAATTACAAATGCACTGGACAGATACAGGGCTACGGTAGCTCAGAGGGCTACGCAGCGAAGGCACGTGAACTAAACTCCTCGTAGCGCCTCCTCGTTGGAAAATTTGTCGTCGGAATACGGCGCCGTTGACTGCACCATTACCTGTGCTGGATTTCTGGTCCGTGATGCTGGAATTATTAGTTGGTTCGGGTACGGCGTCGTCCATGGGATGCAGCGACGCGTAGTCATGCGACATTTTGAGCACGTGCGATACCGAATAGCGCAGCATTCTATCCGAACCTAAGGGGCAAGTGTGCCAACATATTAGCGGAATGGGCCGAATTTCGACATTTTAAGAAGACAGAAGTGCCACAATACTCATAGGCACGAATTTAGGAATAAAAATGTTATAAGTTGTACTTATATAGCCGAATATATTACTTTTTGAAAGGTGTGATTCAGATCAGGGTGGTGTAAAGTCGTGTTTTGAAAGAATGAACATCTGTCGCTTTAATGATGAAACAGTAGCAATGCTGGTTTAGTTAAGTTATTTGTTCTTATAAACTTAATACTTCAAACGTAAATGTCCAAAGTAGTTAGCATTGTCAACAAATTTAGAATCCAGCTTGGTCTAGCTGTGATTGGTCAGAATTTGACCACATTAAATAAAAAACAAGCGTAAATGAGACTTACAATTGCGGCTAGGATTAGCCCTGCTCCAGATTTTGAGCTAATCTTAGAGCCCAAAGATAGCTCGAAAACTGTTGTAAATTTATGCAAGAGATTAGCGTTTTATACCGTTTTAAGAAAGGTAATCATTTGTTGGTAGGTTAAGTCCATTAAATATTACATGGTAGCACCGTGACCAATAGGGTTATTTTTTAAACTATTCAACAAATAAAATTTAGTTAAATGAGTATAGGCTTATGCCGGTTTCGTGGGCAGGTTTTGAATCATTTTAGTTGCTCTGTTTTAATAAGGTAGTGCTAAGCATTTGCAAGATCGCGTCTGGGAATGCTGTGTAATCTATTGGAAAATATCACGCACTTGAATTTAGTCCAAACCAAGCGGATTTGATTTCCAAAAAAGCGGTGATTCTATAACGAAATTTTAATAAAAGCACTCAATTTACAAAGTTCATATTTAAACATCCAGTCAGTTCTAATTCAAATAGATCTTTTTTGCTAAAAAAAACCGCCAAATTGATCACTGATAGACTCGACTAGTTGAATTTGAGCTGTCTTTGAGGTAATTCAAAGATGTGGTCTATGGAGACAAGTCAGAAGGTCAAAATATCAGTGAGGTAGAACGATGGGAGGTCTTGACGCCTTAACTGGAGTTTAATTACGGTGATGCTGCATTCGGCCCTCCCATGAATCCACATAATTGACCCGGAAACCGCACCAACTTGGAATTCAATTTATCACTGATCATCCTGTTAATGCCTTCTATTGGATTATTGCACATGCATAACCGCAACCACATAATTCGAATATCACTCACCGCATCAAAAAGTGGGCAAATGAAAATGCAGCTTTTGTTTTACTGAGCTCCAGGCGGATCAGATGCGATCATTCTAATGAATTAACTACCCTTTTGGATCAGATAAGAAATAATTAACAGGCAAGCAAATAATGACACGGTTGTATTCGCTTACTTTTATTGAGGTGATCAAGCTTGAATAAAAACTGTTAGTCAACTCAACCGCGCATTTAATAGGCGCATCCGAAGGACCAGCGTGTGTAAGGCAGCATTTTAATTGGACAAAAAGTGACCAACCGCAGTTAAAAACTCCACGCCGGGTAGATGGGTGGTGCGATCGATAATGCATTACCGATCTTGCCCGGTCTAGTCTAGTCTAGTTCAGTCTCGATGTACGAAATGTTACTGACTTAGTGGGCATGGCTTTAGGAAAGACCAATATTTTTAAAACAACTTAACTGCAAATGTTACTTCTCCTTTGGCCAATTTAAGAGAGTTCAGCAATTTCACCACACAATCCAAACACAGATTTCATAGGCAAAGGCAGAATAATAAATTGGGACAATTTTTCTGTAATTGACAGAGTGGTCAGATGATAATTTCATCAAAGAAGAATCCAACAAGCTGTCGTGAGTAGAAGTTTGATTTATCAGTAAATCGATGCCAGCTCCTTTTATCCCATTTTCCACTGCAGACATGCCTTCATGGGTTCCGTGAAATAGCGTCGATATTCCCAAGGCATTCAAGGGGAATGGGGAGGAAGGGGATTTCCCCTCGCGTGCAGGACTGCACTGGCAAGTGGACCATCTAGGAGAAAATACGATGTTTTGAGTTCAAGGTGGCGTCAGATTCCGCGTATGGTGCAGCCTTTCCTCAAGTCGGTTCTAGCGATCACTGATACCAATTAGTTTAGAATGAGCCTGAAATTAATGCAACCGAATTAGAGAATTTACCTTGCTGCCAGGGAGTGACTTAGTGTCGATATCTCAACACTGCGAAAATTTTGTTTCACCTCAACGTGGTCTTAAACAATGTCCCATGCAAACTTCAAACTCTCGAACTTGTATCATACAATGGCTCAGGGCTATTCTCACCCAAAGGCACTTCGATACAACAAAAAATTAAGCGGCATGCTGTGGAGGAATCACAGGACATTAAGAAGGGGAATGTGATGGAGGAGTATCCTTGACTATTACTGGCCTCTTAGGTAGAAATTACTACTTTTAATACACAGTAATAAATCCACTTGATTTAGGCTTTGAAGAAAGCAGTTGACACTGACTCAGTCGGCTTCGAAACTTGAATTAATTATTATGTGCATTTAAGCGTTTTTAACATAAATGAACTCTTGTAAAACCAAGCCTTTTTAATTGCATAACTTCATAAACATCACTAGAAATTGGCTTTTGTAGTTTTTTCGTGATCAAATCAACCCCGGCGAAATTTGACAGAAGCATTTCTGATTGGTAGCTCCAATTTAAAAAGAAACCGCTTTGGGCTACACCTTGGTGGGTTGAATATCAGTAAGGGGAACCCACGATTTAAAGCATCAACCTAGTTCCTAACATTAGTAAAACTCGAGCACTATTTTGTAGGTGACGAGACAGCAGCTACAAACATTGGGTCCAAACCCTAAATTCATAAAATTGGCAAGCTCGCGTAACACGAAAAGTTTAAAGAAAACACTGAGACAGGTTTCGATTCACTTTCAATCCACCCCATGCGGTAACAGCGTGATGCGATTCATTTTACAATCATGAGATGTCGACTTATTTTAGGCCTTGTGGGAGGCGGCTAAAGCCAAGCTTAGGCTGCTTGACGGTTACGTCAGAAAACCAGTTTGCAGAAGGCATGCAGCCTCGACATAATCCCCAATTTACGTTAAATTCCTCGCCCCCAATTGCCCCCTTAATTTCGGGGGATTATCGACGTGGCAGTGGGGAGATTGGGTGTGTGACGCGTGGGCGTTCGGCGGTGCACGCCCCCGCCCCCGCCACCTCCCACCGAAACCCCCAAAACGAGCCACACGGCCGGGCAGCTAGTCGTATTTTTTTTTACAAAAGAGCGGACGGTAAATGCATTTGAAATCTTGTTTTGAAAGCGGTGTGCTCACGAACGACGAAGATTAGTTTTTCCCGACCGACTCCCTCCTACCAGTCGCAAAACGCTCTATCACCGGTTCTGTTTTCTTGACGCCTTCGAAATAAGATTTATGATATTTAGGACTAGCTACTCCGTCGTGAAATTGGGTTGCGGATGATGTCAGTAAGAAGTTGATTAAGATGAGTGTAGATAAACGATTACGGTGCTGTTAGTTGAGGAATCTAAGTTTCTGTGGAAATTAGGCCTTCCCGAAAACATGAATATCGCGTGCAATCGGTTGCTGTTGACGAACCAAATGCAGTACAAAGACTCGTTTGTACGTATTTAGTTCGATTTTCCCCTTTCGTTGAACGAATCAAAATTGCCTCAAAAGGCGCTCAATTAAATTATTGAGCGGCTTCGATGCCCAAGTTTTTCTCGCATTCGCCAATTATGCCGACAATGACAAAAATCCTTATGGAAATTACAAGCCAGTCTGACTAACTCGTTGTCATTGTGTCGAGATTTTCACCGCTTGGTGTGGGTGCCACTTGCTGAGATCGATGTTGTGTGTTTCTGTGTAACACTGTCACATGTGTGTGTGTGTGCAACTCCAGGAGCCAATGACCTCGAAAGTTCCTTGAACCAGTAACGAAGCGTGCTTGTATGAGTTTGTGAGGTAACTTCATTAAGAAAACAGGAAAAGGAATGCGTCGCTGCAAACTCGTTCTTGTGTTTACCTTACTGTTGCTCCGAGGATTCGCTCAACCAGATGTAAAGTTAATCTGTAAGTTTTGCATGTGCTACAAATGAGATGCCAGCGTGAAACTTAAAAATTCATGGTTATTATTGTGCTACGGATTAAACAACAACAACAACAACAACAATAACAAGTGACACCGAATGCTTTCAGCCTGTGTATTTTTTAATTGAAGCACAACAGGTAAATAACCAGACGACAGCAATTACTTAACTCAATAGTTTAATAGTTTGTTTATTTTCTACCTTACTTCATCCAGTCAATCATCTAAAGTAGACGATTTTGAGAATCTAGTAAACTAAAAATTTCATATTTTGATAAAATTACGACCGATTTGCTACTCAATGTTAGGAATCTTTCAAAGCGTCGCATAAAATGAGGCAGTAGAATTGAATTAAACGTAAATCTTTCTCCCCGTTGCAATGACATTTACGTATATCAATCAAGAGATTTTATTTTGGTACATACTTGACTTATTTGAGATTTCTCAACCAGAAAATAAAAGATGAATATCCGACTAATTTACTAATTTTTAACTTGAAATGCTCTTTTCAGCACCTGATAGCCTTAATTGCGCGTCAACTAAGAACAGTTTATTTGTTTTACTTGCTTTTCCACTTGTAATTCTCAGTGTTCACGGACACAAGCTTGGACAGAGCGCGATCCCAACTGCTCTTCACGGAGGTTCTAAAGCAAAAGGCGTTCTCGCCTCTCAAAAATTTCCTAATTCAGCCACAGTTTCTCCGAGAGTTACAAATCCCCCCAACAAATCAGGAATTGGCAACGCGTGAGCTTTTTTTACTGAAACCTTCTATTTTTTGAGCAGTGTCTTCATTAATTGTTACTTACAAGGTGGATTTATGCAGTTTCTTCTAATTATTAAGTTCATGTTTTCAGTTGCTTCATCATCCACAGCCAAAAACTGAAGTGCATTTTTATTTTAGAATTCGAGACGATAAACGATCCGAGAATTTTTGTCCAAATCGGGCCCAAATCCCTCTACGGACCGTCGTTTTTTCGTACAACCGAAAAAACAACTTTTGACAATGTGACACGACTCTGCTTTGAGGGCTTTGATCTGAGTGCCGCTGTGCAAGATGACGTAATGTGGGCAGCGTTCAAACACCTGACCTCTGCAATGGATCTAACCAACGTCGCTCTGCTACTCGATGACTCAGGCAAGTTCAGTTTTTTGCTAGTTTAAAGTGTGTTCGCAATATCAGAAAGCGTTACCTTGTACTACGCTTTAGGGTCCGTTAAATGCAACTGCCAATAGGGATTGGAACCTGTGACAGAGTCTGCCTTGTACGAATTTAAGAATGTGAATTGATTCGAATAATTCGATCCTTTTGGGAGGAGTTGAAGGATTCTCACATTGAGTGGGACTTACCGATGAGAATTCCTATGTGTCTGAAACGCCCATCTTGTCACGAAACGAGTTTCATTGATACTTAGGGGTATCACTGTCTTAAATGTTGGTTCTGGGTCAGAAACCACACTCCGTTAGCTCTGAGCCCAAGTAAAACACGATGTTGGGTAAATTTAACGATAAAAAGACACTAAGTGTAGTAAATGCATAAATTGCCTTGGCAGCCTCTGAGACAGTGGTGTCGTAGGCACCATAAAACGCAAGCAATCCGCTGCTCTGGTTGGTAAGGTCTCATCTCGAGTCCTTTGCTTCCATTGGAATCGAATGTTGAAACACTTACATTGCATTTGTCAGAAGCACTCAAGGACATTGCACAAAGGGGCGTTACTGTCCTGGTATAGGACCGCTAAAGAATCACACATCTCCTGCTGTCAAATGAGCCAGCAACAAGGGAAATAAACTACACCGATTACCTGTACTCTTTCCGTAAGCACTGACTTACTTAGAACAGGGAAAGAAATAGTCTCAAAACCCGCTTAAAGCATTAAAATTTACCCAAAAAGCGATACGTTCTGATTCCATTAGGTGAAAATCAATTTACTGCCTTTAAATATTGGTTAGTTTGACAAAAATTTGCATTACAGGGGCACTTTTAGCATTTAAGCTTAGATTCCGTAATGGTCTTAGGTCCTCAGTTTGACATTTCTCTTACGCAGATACTGAAACTCACCCGTTCGCAAGTAAGGCTTGGCCGTGATTATAACAAACGCTTGCACTCAGGTACCGAGCCGCTTCAGTTCCTTGGTTCAGGGGTTGGTCAGTTTCAGGTCTACTACAAGCGCGAATTTCCATCCTCTGAAGAGATACTCAGTCGGATTCTTGTGGACGGAGCGACAGTGCTTGTGCTGAAACTGGATCAGTCTAACGCCCTTAAACTTCTCACTATGGTATGTTGCCGTCGGTTTCTAAAACTAATGTAAATTTTTAAGGCTCAGGAAAAGAATATCCTTCTTACTCCATTTCACTGGCTCGTCTTCAACGCGGTGAGTTCATGTGAATGTGAAAATGCCTTAAAATATGCTGCATTTTATTTTATTGGAATTATCTGTCTAGAATTCTATGGGAAGGAATTAAAACGAAGTCGGAGTAGTTTGAAAATGGTTTTCCTACCTCACGCCACTGCTAGTTTGCAGCAACTATAAAACCTTTTGGTTGTCCTTTCTTTGTTATGGAGTAGATGCCACAAGTGCGGTAAAATGCTGTGGAGTGTAGGTTTTCCAGTCTCAATTCCTCACCACGGAGCTGCCGTACAAGTCAAGCCGAGATTTGACATCTACATTTACGCTGTTGCATAGCCGTGAGCTAACCCAAATAAACCTTGCCTAACGTTAGTAACGCAAATGAACGGGTTCCTTTGGCGCTTAAAAAAAACAGATTTCAGATGAAATCATGAAGACTGAAAATTGGTTTGCACTTCATCACCTCACTACTATCAGTGGCAATAATGTAGTTAGATAAGTGTATACAAAATAAATTGTTGTTAATAAACAAAATTTATTTAGAATTTTGCCTTTAATCAGGGCCTAACCTTATCGGGAAACGCGTACGACGTGGCAGACGCGAATTTCTACGCCGTTGAGTTGTCGACCAATGGAAAATTTCAGGACTATCCGGAATTCAACAGTATACCGAAACCAGTAACCACGAACGACTTGATATTCCGGGACATGACCGTTGTGGCACTTAAGAAATTGTCCCAACTCCTCGCTATTCAGGTGAGCGAACGGTCAACATGTCTGCGGCCTGGTTTGCTTGGGACTAATTACTAAAAGAGGAAATTTTGTGTTGAATAAATGACAGCATGTTGGTTTCGAGTTTTACCTGTAGGTGGTGGTTATTAGAACGCATCCACAGGCATGGCAGAATCAGAAATGCCGTAACTTAATCTCTACTGCAACCTGAAATCGCAAATACTAGTGATGTTGTATTCCATTCATATCATGGCAAATGGTTTCAATAGGTCTGACTTCTTGACCTGCTTTTCAAAGTAAGAACACTGGTAATGATACATTCGGAAACTTTTTAAACAAGTAACATCATGCAAGTAGCATAGAGTACCTTGTTATTCATTTTTGGGAATATTCAGATGGCATCTCCTATTGATTCAAGCTAGTAATTTGAAAATTGTACGTAAATTCAGTTTGGTGAGTAGAGATTAACTAAAAATTAAGTGAAACGTGATAGAAATACCGACGGAAGTAGGCACGTATTTAAGTTTTTTTAGCAATGAGAAAATCGAACTAGTTTTTTTTGTAAATGGTGCACTAGCAGTCTTAAAATTATGCGTATTTTATGGGTCCAAGTGCCCTGGCTTTAAAAAACTCGAAGCTTTTTTCTTCTAATGTACTCAAAAACCATGGATAAGCTTGATTGTTCGATCCAAATATCATCTCATCTGTCACAGACACGTAAAAAAAAGTTCTGCATTTTAGTTGCTTTGCTGAGCCTAGTGACTGTCGTTGCACTGTTGCAGCACACCACAAATATATTTCATGAAATTTTCGCAAACGTCTCACGAAATCCACAAAGCAATTATTTGGCACCTTTGAAACGAATAACGACCAACTCGGAGCGAAGATTTCTTTGGAACTCGGTCTATGGGCTTGTAACAGCCCGTAACTACCCGAGGAAAGGTGAATGTCAGTCTACTACGGGCTCTTTAGTAAAATCGGCTTACTACTCTCGTGGATGACTTTGTTAAGATTGCGTCACCGCTTAAAAGGTTGCAAGCCTGACGGGGTGTCAGTGTGACTCCCCACGTGAAAGTAAATTGCGATATTGCACAACATGTGACAACCATAAGTTCGAATGTGGCGACTTCTGGCTGATAGAAAATTCCAGGAACACTGTTAGAACTGCTGTTTGGTTACGCGAAAACTCGATTAGGTCTTAATTTATCAGCAGTCTTTGTAGCAGCTGACACCAATTATGAATATTACCTCTAGCGTCTCTAATATGTCATTTTGCATTTACTTGTAGCTGACCGAGGACGTACCTCTCATTACATGCACTCTGAGTGACCCCAATTTGTCTTCACAGGAGTTAACTCCAACATGGAATTTTTACTCCTATGTAACAACAGAGTTTGATGCATCAAGTGTACGTCCAATTGAGATATAGACTACTAGTTTTTTTTAGTTTCATGTTTCACTGTACCAGAGTGCTCGAGCTTAGGACGATGAGTTAGAGCTGATATTAGCGAAAACAGCAGTTTGATGTTCTCTTTTTAGGTTTGATTTTTTTAGATTTGATTTTATCAAATGAAGTTGCCTTACATCAAAATCTGTGGAACTGATTTCGTGTTATCATAACCAGAATTATAATATTCTTTCCGCCATCACTAAGTCCTGCTAAAATTGATTAGCCCATCGATCACAGCGAAAGCTTTTGTTTGAATTGTCCAAGTACTCTAAACTGTCAGGAAATTTAGGAACGAACTGAATCACTATTAGAGGCAAGTAATATTAGGAGTAATGACCAAACCAATGGCAAAGCTGAAAAGCCATACAGCTCACATGTGGCTGAATATCTCTCTCTAAGATAGGACAATAGGGTAGCGAAATCTAGATGTGCTGTAAACGGTTTAACGTGTAAGGTTCCATAACCCGTGGTTGAATTCCACCCTTGTCTTCTGCAATTGATTACCACAATGTTGCTAAGCTAGGATACACTAGTCAATAAGAAGCACACACACGATTTAATTGAGGATAATCCAAAGTATGTTATTAATGGAGTCCATTGGGCCGAGTGAACATTGAGAGAACTATCATTTACATCTTTACCTTAAAGACCTACCGAATAGAGCGAAAACCCAACGGAACTGTTGACGGAAATTTCCAGCCCCTGAAACCTACTCCGACCCGCGAAAGCCTGCTCAAATTGATGCAATCGAAGCCATTTCGCATTGGCACTTTCGTGGTAAGGACTAAATAGCGTGAATTGGCTACATGAAAGCACTTATGTAGTCTAATCCGTTTATGCACCTGCATTACGACTACATTATGCCTATGAATTTAGAAATATGTATATGGGGGGTTGGTTAGTGCATATAAATTTACCATCGACATTTCAGTAACATTTAACGGCATACACGCAAACACTCCCATTGGCAAAGTTATGTTTAGTCTTAAAAGCAATGGCTACCTACACAAATAAGTAGCACGTCCAAGAATTGGTTGCACACCAAGGACACAATGAAAACGTGCCTGAGAAAGCTGCCTTTAGCGGAAGATAGATGTAAGGAGACACGATAACCTTGGTAAAAATTATTCAGAAAAAATCAGAATGGGACGCTAATGGATATGTTGCGTAGGTAATTTAAGGGCGTTTTTACCCATCTGAAATAGTGATCACGTTAAAACCTCAGCCACTAGAGTTGGCAGCAAAATTTATAATTGTGATATCCAAAAATATCATACGAATTACCATCACACAGAGTCGTATTTGAAGGAAAATTCCATCTTCTGTTAATATCGGGGTTCATGTTGTAACAGTAAGGACAGGTCATGAGCAAACTTGTTTTTGAACTAATCCAGAGGATCCTGTGGATGTTTGTAGATTCCCCCGCTAATTGAATTAGTGGACGATCAGACAAACAGGACTACTAGGGTCCAGGGTCCTCAGATCGCGGTAGCTACGAAACTGCTTGAACGTCTAAACGTCTCCTTCGAGATCACCGTCTTTGACTTGGAGGTTGGCGAAAAGGTTGGCGATCGATGGACCGGACTCTTTGGACACCTCGAAGAGTGGGTATGGCTGGACACACTCCTTCCTTCCACAACAATCCCTTAATTTATCCCACTTTTAAGCGCATCATTATATTTACGTGTTGATGGAAGGCTTTCCTAAGTGCTTTGGGACAAGGCATGTGTAAATAAAGAGGTGGTTTTACCGCTTTCAGCACACAACAGAGCCGGACTTTAAGACATGTAAACGTCACAAATCCGCTTTATTATAGACGAGAATCGTGTACTACTTTACTTAGTCAACTAATATAGTGAGTATCTGTTAGGAAAATTTTTGGCATCTAGACTTATTCTTAACTAACGCTTCATGAGGGCTTTTAAGTAATCGTTGACTCATTCGCTAAATTCTTGATTTTAAGTGTCATAATTTGCATGTTTTGTGATGTAGTTGTCTTTACTATTAACTTAATTGTCAAGTAGTGTATTATGAAGCGTTTTACAGCCTAGAGCATCTCGGTTTATGCAGCGAAGAGTCTCATAATGGGCGATTGGCTACTTAAGTCTAAATCCAGATAACTGTTTTCGGAACAAATGTCGGAAGTTTTTAACAGAGGCAATGAACGTCTGAATGTTTAATTAAGTAAAATTCGAACTCTGCAGAAACAAATTTTGGAATGGATCGGATTGTGGAGGCAATGAACTGGGAATTTGTATGGCGTTAAATTATGCTGGGTCGAATTTTCCACTCTGAATTTATCATATTCATAAGTGAGAAATTTGAAGGTTAAAACGTGCACAAAAATAAAAAACAACATAATTTCGACGAATAGAAGATTACCAAATAATGCAGAGTAGTACAAGTGAGTTGTATTGAAATCCAGTCGTGTGCTGGCACCGAAGGAACCCGCGTGAAAGGAAGGCGAAGCGATGCGGTGGACACGACCGTTTATTAACAATCTGGGCGTAATGCATCATCGCGAGGGCATGTGTAAGCGCGGTTGCTGTTAGAAGTAGCTCAAAAATCCGTGTTCGGACACACACCTCATACACGTCCACTGGTGGTAATCGACACACCCGCTAATGACTCCATGTCGCTTGCTTTCCAGGACATCGATCTGTTAGTGGGTCCAATCTCGTTGACATGGGACCGACAAGCAGACTTCCAAAGCACATCACCCTTTCAGAGCATCTCGTACAAGTTCATTTACATGAGGCCATCGCTGTCGGGGGCACTGCAGATATTCCAATTTGTAGTCGCCTTCGACGGCTACACCTGGCTGCTGATCTTCATAACCGCCGTTGTCTTTGCCTGTTCATTGGCTTTACTGCACAAAATCAGTCCGAACACCCTCAGCTATAGCATCCATCCCTCGATGATTTTCGTCTTTGGTTACCTCGTTCAGGTAGGCATTCAGGAGCTGCTTGTCATTTAAGCCTGTTGACTACACACTGCCCATGATACGTAGGTTTTCCACAAAAAAGGTAAGAAATTCAATACAAACTATAATTCTCACAACATTTGCGAATTCAGAAGATACCATACAATCCTTAAAGTTCTATATTTTAAAGAAAGTATTATCGATTTATGTGATCAGTTAGGGTCACAATCACATTTGATTCGGTGTATACCTTGTATTTATGTGCCTTTAATTTTGTTGCTATAGTAAAGGCGACATGCTTATTTTTTTCAAAGATTGCACACACTATTTCCTTCGAAAAATGGGCAACTCTGCTCTACCAAGCTTTAGTAAGGTTTTAATTTTAAATCGCCTTTGCAAAGCACTTTGTCTATAAGAGAATTTCATCAAATATTGTCCCTTTCCATTAGGTATAAAAAGGTTTGAAACTATGGTCATCTAAATGATTAGAATAACAAGCTATGGGAAAAGCAGAATTGCGCGTCATCGACCAATTACTCCTGAACACTTTGACCGGACTTCTACGCCTTCATCAAGGCTTGTACTTAATTTGAATCCGGTTTAACGGGAGTTTGGTAGAACGCCTTAAAGGTCTTTGTGGGAAAGGTGAAACAAATCTTTGCCTTGTAGGGGGTGCGGACGCGTCCACCGAATCGCGCTTCTAGTCAAATTCTCATCGCCGTGTGGTGGTTCTTCTGTCTCGTACTCGTGATCGGATTCTGCGCCAACTACGCTGCCTACCGGTCCTTCACAGCTCTGGAAAACTTGCCGTCTACGGATTACTCGCTTCTTCACCAGACCTACTATACGTAAGTAGCCTGAACGCTAAATGTTAAATACTTTTGTACAAACGGCAACAATTTATTAAGCAGACCGCCGTTGAATCCATCAAATTTGATGCTTTTAAATAGCCGACACCAGTGCTGTGCATAAAAACTTCATTTTCGCCAGTGGAACTTATTCAATTAAATACGACCCCACTGACTCACCACTGTGATGGTAAGCGTGGAAGCTTGCCAAGCGAAAAAGCAGGCCGAAACATGTTTGTGCTCATGTGCAACTTAAAGAAAAAGAACCTGCGATCGAGGCCATAAATGATAAATTCGAAACTGGAGTATCAATTCTGGCACTGAAATACCACCGGATGCGTCTCATTTGTTCAAGGGTGTCAATTACTTGGCAGATTATTTTGGCAATCACCACATAGGCTACGGATGAGCAAAGCCACTAATGCAGAAGTTCGTCGTTGTCATCAAAATTTGAGAATACCCGCTCTAGACATTCCATGCCCAGCACGGAAATGTTGATGCCACTGCTATAAATTTTCAAAAGAGAATTTTGAGAATCAAGTAAATATATCTGTGTGGTGATTCAGGCTCTTAGGGATGAACAATTATCGGGCAAATAATGAATCTTTTCTTAGGTACGCCTACATAAACGGATCAAACACGGAGGAAATCATGCGCGCGACGTTAGATCCGTCGATTTACGCCCTTTATCAAAGCATCAATATGAAATTTGCAAATAAAATTCCACCCAACCGAACTGTGGCTCTTGAGCAGGTTTTGAATGTAAGTCACATTTCTATAATTAAAAAAAGTTCCTATGACAACCGAAATCATTCAGTCACTTATGTCGATGTCTAAATCTTTTCTCGAAGATGGCTTTTTACTTAAAATTTTATTGCCACTGTCAATGAAGCAAATACACCGAATCACTTTGATGTTAAAATTTATACGAACATATCCTGCAAATCAAAATTAATGACGGTAATCGTCCTAAAATGTTTTAAAAGAGCTTCAAAAGAAGCGACGCCATATCCATGCAAATTGGCTCCTACGTTCTACATGAGACATTGGTGTCTTATTGGAACTAATCATGCTAGGCATTTATGATATCAAATGCCAGACGTTTTTAACTATTTCAGCTGGAAACTTAACTCTCATGAGTGTTAAATACGAGTACTTCATAAAACTTCACAAAGAAGTCATGTAGTCTGGTTATTTTATGACAGTTTATTGAATTCAGAGCCTAACACAACCACCTTAATGAATTTCACATGAAAAATCGATATTCATGTCCTACTCACAGTGTGCCAGTCTCACCAGTAGAGTCCTTTGGATCGGTGACAGCTAATTTTACCATCCAATTTTCTTTGAACAGGGTCATTTCGCGCTGATTGATGAATCGCCATTCACAGATTATTACGCGAAAAAGTACTGTCTTGAGACCAGCGTCACATTGTGGCACGGCACCTACGCCTTCTACATGCCGAAACTCCTTCCCTACTACGATATCGTTGAGGCGGAGCTCAAGGGCATGGGCGTGGATGGAACTACTGAGGAAATTTTTAAGCAGTATGTTCTAAAACATGCCTACGGTTCTTTTGTGTTGCCTAGAAACACAAAGACGATAAGGGCCACAGAAACCACAGAATGGGAATAAAGAACGGTCACTGCAATGGCATTTTGCTCGACGAGAGAATTCCACATTTGTGTTTGCATGTCTTAGCTTTAGCTCTACCTCCTAACCGCAGATTAACAATTTAATAAGGCCAATTGAATGCGTAGACAGAAATCTGACTATATGTAAGTGTCTTATTTAGAATAATAGAGTCCAATGATATTTCCAAATACCGGGAGAAGCTCTTCTTTCCTTTGCACTGAAGCATGGACAACCGCCTAAATTTGCAGATTATTAATTTGGATGGTCTAATCAAGATCTTTTCCCCTTAGCAATCAAATTTACGCCGCCTCTATCATATAAATTGGTGTTAAATTCCCCCAAATTCATGGGGATGCGTGTGGCCTCTGTATGCCATGTGTCCGAGCACAGATATTTATTTAACATGCTGCGTATAATCTCACGTTTGCAATAAAAGTCTAAACACATTCATTCAATTTCGCAACTTGTGATTTTGCAACTGCAAAATCGTGCTTACTTCAAGGCAATTGCCATCAAATTTCAATCACTGTCTTTTGCCTAATTTCAAAATGGGTTTGATATTCCCTAAGGCGTATTGCGGACATTCCCAAGCATAATCAAATGTAAACTTGACAGTCAGTAGCCTAGCTAAAGAAGAAGCTCTTTGTGAATATGTCAACGACACATGGCTTTTAAGCGCCGAATTGACTAGTTTACTTACAGATCTGCCAGGTCTATTACCATAACACCTAAGAAAGGTGAGATATGATGTATGTGGGAGGCTTCAATCTTCAAGAGGTTCGTACGCAAGTTAAACCCAAGGTGTATGGAAGACAGTTGAAACAGGTTGAATGGACAATAGGGGCGAGGCTGTCGAAGTGAAACGATCACGCTTTAAAAGCCTCCTCCTTATGGATGCTGTCGTGAGAAATTTTGCCTGCATCTACTGTCTTTGTGCACCTTCAGAGCAAAGAAAGACCTGGAGGATCGGATGCCCACATTCTGCGGTGCAACGTTTAAGGACCAGGCGCTGGAGGCTATGCGAAATCCCCTCGTCAACTGGTCCGACTACTCCATCGAGTTCGCCGCAGCATTCGGAATCTTTATTTTAGCCCTCATTGGTCTCGCTATCGTCGCCGTTATTATCACAGTCGAATGCTGTCTGGGGATTTACAAAAAGGTGAGTGCGTTTCGTGGAAGACTTCAGTGAGCCAGAATCCGCTACCGAATGCTTAGGTCCATCAATTCTGTGCCCAGCATCTCCTCCTATGCATTTCCGTACATAAGTGGAATTCAGTCTTTAAATTGCCGTTACCTCGGTGCAGTTATTCAGCAATTATGCTACAACTTTCGTCTTTAATGAACCTTATTTAAATAGTCGATGTTGAGGTAGTCCTGAAATATCAAGCTGAGGTCATATCAAAACCCTAAAATGGCCAAATTTAGGAAAAAGATCAGGTTTCTCAAAAATACGAATGATCCCATCTGTGTTCACATTATAGTGATGGTTGAAAGTCAATTCTTAAGGCGAATAGACTTGGGGGTGCAGGTGTTTAATGTGCCCAAAAGTAGAATGTGCTGTTGCATGGTGGCCTCCATTAATTGAAATGACAAAATTTTTGTTCTGAGGTATTCTAAAATTTTCCCTTCACTTACAAAATTCCTTTTATCAATAACACCTCGGGTCCCTCGAGACACCACTAGTTTCGGATTTGTTGTCATGTTGGAAGAAAAAGACATGGAGTAGGAATTTTAACTTTAATGTGTAACTTGCGTACACTATCTTCCATCCACTTGTGCAAGTTTGAAGTTACGTTTCTACATTCCATA